TTTTTTTTTTCATCTGGCGGCACTTTATTGTTGAAATCATAAAAAAAATTATATATTGTGACTGTTAGCTGTGTGAGTTTTCGAATTTTTGAGTTGTCATAACTTTGTTAATAATGAATAGTTTTTCATGAAATTTTGGTCACATCTATTTAGAGGCACTCTGAATCCAGTGGCGTAGTGATTTTTTCAATAAATATCGTAGTATGCTTTGAAACTTTAATAAACATTTCGAATTTTGTCCCAAGGTAGACCTTTTAGTACTCGACATTTTAAAAAAATTATTAAAATCGATTTACAACTTCAAATTTTAGGAGGTGTTTCCATTAAAAATGGGTCACACTGTATAAGAAACAAAACAGGTCGAAATACTGATCCTTGCGGTATCCCACATATTATTTTTTTTTAACTTACGATTTAGCCAATATATTACTTACAAATGTTATAAATCCAAACAATTTATTCACTACGTTTATATAAACTGTACCAGCATCTTCCACCACAGTTGCATACCTAGATTTAGAAGTAAAACTCAATTCATTGAAGGAAATAAAATAGTTTGCTGTGAAAGTGACAAAAGTAAATCAGATGAGCCTATTAGAACAAACTATATACGAGCTTTCTAATGACGGACTCCTGAAAGACAACTTCATAGAAAAGTTGAATGAGGATAGGGAAATAATATTAAATGAAGCATTAAAACTACAAACAGAAATGAGTAACATAACTGAACAGCACAATAAATAAAACAACACAAGACATGAAATCTGAAATTACTTATCTTCAACAAAAAATAACGAATGGAATGAAAAAATACAGCCATTATCAGTACACAAACAAAACCTGTTAATAAAAAAAGCCAGTCAATTCGACGAACTCCAGTGGCGTAGAGGAAAAAGGACCTGAAACGGTGAAGAACTACTTGAGCATCACAACTGACCAGGGCACACAAGTAATTTTATCTGTATCAACAGATGAAAAACACAAGAACATCAAAGGCAAGAGGCAAATGGTCAAGAAATTCAATGGAAATGCTAGAAACGGGGTAACTTTAATATCAGGATCAAGGGGAAAAATCTCATTAACTCATAAACAAGATGGATCATTACTGAATCAATCTTTCATCAAAACTAGCAGTGACGAAAACGGTCTGCTTGAAACTGCTCTTAATGAATCAACGAAGATGTCAACATCCGATATGCTTCTCTTTTGGCCAGATACATACAGGGATGCGCAAAAGTCCGGAATAAAATTAATATCTTTCTAACCAGTATTTTAGTAAAAAAAACGCTGAAACACGTCAGTTGATTTCACGTTGTGCGCATTTTTTGGCGAATTTTTTTTTCAACCCCTTAGCTGCAACCTTCCCCACCTTTTTTTTTTCAAATGCAAACCTATGTCGTGTATGGGCTCATTGAAAAACTCCTAAAAAATGGAATCTGACCATACCCTTTCTTTTTTTTACTCATGCGGTTATCACCAAATGAGAAAAAACTCTTTTAAAACCAAAAAAGTTAGAAATACTTAGTGCTATCTACAGGTGAATTAACGTTGCAAAAAACAAATAAGTGGTGATGATGTACATTGCTCAACAATTGCTAAGGACCACCAGTACCTACTTTCTAAAAGTTTACAAATTTTAAGAACAGACAAACCGGGCCAGACACCACAACAAATTTTATTGATTTATGTGTAAAACTGATAACGTAATGTAGCATCAACATTCAGTGGATTTTATTTTTTCACCAAAAACTTACACATAAAATTAGTTCCATCCCAAGCAATTGTTGACCAGTGTACCTCAAAAAGAGAAAAAGGTTGTTGCATTTGTTGCAAGAACATGGTACAATGAAGGACTTGCCCAGAAGTGGCCGGCCACATGTTTTAGACGAAGATCAAAAATTGGACATTGCCTTATCTCTGCAGGAAGATCCACATTTGTCAACGGTTTCATTAGCCCAAAATAATCCTGCGTCTAGACGTACGATTGGGAGGTTTTTGAAAACAGAAAAATACCACCCATATAAGGTATGTCTTGTCCAAGAGCTCTTGGAAGATGACTATGACAGGCGTTTGCAATTTTGTGAGGAAATAATGAGGCGATGTGACGAGAATAATGGGTTTCCACTCAACATACTCTTTTCGGACGAAGCTACTTTTTATTTACATGGAGTAGTTAACATGCACAACTATCGATTCTGGAGTCAGGAAAACCCACACTGGATATGCGAAGCTCGTACGCAGCGTCCTCAGAAAGTAAATGTATCGGCAGGCATCATCAACCACAGATTATTAGGGCCATACTTTTTTTAGGGAAACCTTACAGCTGCATGCTACTTAGACTGTTTACGCTTTGAATTAGTCCCTGCTTTAGCTGTTATGTTTCCCAATGAAGCAGATCCAGATATCCCCACTGAAACACTTTGGTTCCAACAGGACGGCGCTCCCCCACATTTTGGTATTAATGTCAGAGAATATCTCGATGACATATTTGCAGGACGCTGGATTGGACGACGTGGTACAATTGAATGGCCGCCAAGATCCCCAGACTTAACGCCATTAGATTATTTTTATTGGGGATATATGAAAGACAAGGTTTACCAAAATAGGCCGGCTAATATTGAAGGTCTAAAAAGCAGAATTAGAGTGGAATCACATAACATACCGGCTGAGGCCATTCGGAATTCCGTAGTCGGGTTTTACCATCGCCTAGGAGCCTGCCAAGTAGAGGGTGGAGGCCAATTTCAGCATCTGTTACGTTAATTCACCCGTAGATAGCACTAAGTTAGGTATTTGTAACTTTTCAAAAGAGTTTTTTCTCATTTCGTTGTAACCACAAAAAAAGGGTATGGTCAGAATCCATTTTTTACGAGCTTTTCAATGAGGCCATACACGACATAGGTTTGCATTTGAAAAAAAAAAGTCGGGGAGGGTTGCAGCTAAGGGGTTGAAAAAAAAATCATTTTATTGCCAAAAAATCAACTGACGTGTTTCAGCGTTTTTTTCGAAAAATACTGGTTAAAAAGACTTCATCTGGACACACACTACAAAAACATCAAACACTCACCTCATGCGCCTTGCTGACAGTCGCTACAGGGCTGGTCATGTTGACTTGCGAACTCTTCATCAAACTATTCGGGTTACTGGTCACGAGGATCAAACTGTTGACCCCCGTCGTGATCGGAGCAGTGGAAGCGACAAGGGAATATGTTGCGACAGAATTCTTCGACGTTGGCAGAACAATCGCCTTCTGGATAGATGGTGGAGCCACCGTATTCATGACCTGCATGCTGACGGTATTGCTGAACTGAGCGGGGGGCTGCTTCACTACGAGTTTGCCGACAGGTGAGGAGGGTTTCTCTGATTTATCTTCGGACGTGATGTTCTTGGGCATGCTGACGACCTTGCGCAACCTGCGGAATGCCTCCGCACTGTAGCCGAGAGTTATTTTATCCTAGAAATGTAGAAACAGAGTTTGTCGTGTAATATATTTTATTATTTATTTGTTGCCATTATACAATGAACATACAGGATGTAACATAAGTACGTTAAAATATTCAAGTGACGTATTCCTGAGACAATTTTAAGAAAAGAAGTCTATAGGTTCGTTCCAACCAGCGTCAGAAACAGTTTCTGACAGTCAGGATTCTGCGCAGTAATATGATTGCGTTCCAACGTGAGTTTCCAACCATTAGTAAACTATCAGTTTTCTGTTCCATCCAAGATTCAAACCTGTTCGAAATCTATCAGAATGGTTTGAGGATTATCTTCTAACCATCAATCTGACGCATGCGTGTTCCGTATTACTGTTTCTGTTTTATGTTCATGCAACTTACAAACAACATAACCTGCAAAAATTGTTATAAAATAAATTATGTATTTGCTGGCGCAGGAAAAATTGGGAATTCTTCAAGTGAACCTATAATATAAACATCTATAATTACACAAATTAATTATTGTGGTGACCTCCCAGTTCCATGTTGATAAGTAAATAGAATAGAGATATAAAATACTGCAACCTTCTTTTACTCTCCAGAAGTACACTTGATTAGATTTATTTTTAAAGAATTGAAGGGGTTATATTTTTATTTGTGGAATGTTTGAAATAAAAACTGAGTAGAGAAAAGTATCTTCTGTATAATTCAGTGTTCATATAGAAGTATTTGTTTCGAAAGAATTTTTTTTTCTTTCCTTATATATAATTCAATGTTTATATGAAAGTAGCTGTTTCAGGAGGACTTTCTTTCAGTTTGTGTCTGAAAGTTACTTCTTTGCATGATCTACACATCCATGTATAGAGTTACTTATTTTCAAATTGATTACTTCCTTCCTTTCTTTGGAAGATTCCCTCATCCCCTTTTTTTGATTTAAGATGGAGTAGTAGAAAGCCAAAAACTTTCTTTCCCAAATTATTTTTGAAGGTTATGTTGAAATTCCATGCCAAACTTCAGTTTAAGTGTCCGCTGTTCCAATCAGAAATTTCAAATTAATCAGAAACCAATATTTACCAGACATGCGCGTTGACAACGATTTACAAACAGTTGGAAATCTGTTTGTGACTCAAGGTTGGAACGAACCTTATATGAACTTGTGTCAGAAAATGTTCGTTTCAGAGATACGGGGTGTTGAAATCGAATTTTTTTGTTCGCTTTTTGAAAATAACTCTTGCAAAAATAAATTTTTTGCACGAAATTCGGTACTCGGGGTTTTTTTGACGTGGGAAATCATAATTTTATATTAATTTTCATGTAACATCTAGAGGGTGCTGCGTACGCTGTCATTATTCATTATTTCAAATTGCCCTAACTTTTTTAGACAGTGAACTTTTGGTACTTTTCATGAAAAAACATAATTCCCACACCTTTTCTAAGTAAACAAAGGTACAGGGCCCCCGCTACCATATGTGCAAAGTGTGCAATGCCATGCTTTAGGGGCTCCAAAATCTAGGGTCAAAAATTGCAATAATTTTCAAAAAAAAACAAAAATTTATTTCAAAATAAAAGTTGAGAAATTAAAAAGAATTAGGTATAAATACACACGAAATTTTATTAGTAATCATCCAGTTACTGTCGATTCCTATGTTGCGAGAACATGTCAGGCGGTGATTTTTCCTGTTTAGACATAAACAATTACTGGGGCGCTATAAAAGAGATGATGCATCGCCAGAGGCGTTTTCAAACCCGTTAGTTCACTGGACCGTGCAACAAGTGCATAAAAATAAGTAATCCTATTAGTTATTACATTTAAAGTTATTTTTATTTTGTCAAGTGTGTTGTATAATATTTTGTTTATTACTTTTTTTCTAAAAAAATCAAATGCTGAATACCTGCTGACTCCAATTTCAACGGTTTGATTTTTTATAAATTGGTAAGTGGTCCCTACTTTAATTTATACTATCAACATTAACCCTTTATAGGATACTGGTTATAATTCTTTTTTGTTTACGCAAATATCTTTTTATTAATTGAAATGTCATGTACAGGGTCTTTGACTACATTTACGTTCTTCCTAGAGCCTTCATTATGTCAGATAGAAAAAAATGTTTTGAGCAGAAGTTGTAGGTTTTTTTTCTATATTAGCTTTTGAAATTATAAGATAAAAACAAAATCGCAAATATGGGCAGCATCCACTTTAATAAAACACCCTGTATATTATGCGCTAAAATAAAAGCCCTCTTTTCTCTCATTTGAAAAATATATATGTTGATATCATTTGGGCATTTGGGTGAGTTGTCCAAATAGCAAACAAATATAAGCATAAAACACCCTTCCAAACTTAAACATTTTACTAATTCTTCTGACACTGTCTGTATCTGTAGCGTCTGGCGAGCGATCTTTTTCAAAGTTAAAAATCATTGGAAATTATTTAAGATCGACATTGCTTCAAGAAAGATTGTCTGGGCTAGCGATATTAGCGGAAAATATCGCTGCTACAATAGCTATTTTGTATTTTTCTATCGTACCTAGCTATCATTTTTGATTTTATAACGAAGTTACCTAGGTATTTTTTATCAGAAGTATCTGCATATTGCATATTTTTTAAAATATCTAAACATTAGTGGAAAGTAGTACCCTATTAGTAAAGTAAATGCTTTAAAATGAGTGTGAACAAGAATTTATTTTAATTTATTTTGTTGTTATGATTTTATTCTGTTTCTTTTATTTTGATATTTCAGTCTACAAATAAATATGACTTCTAAAGTTCAGTTTTTTGCTTTATTGCAAGCACTTACCTACCTTCAAAAAATAAATAAAAAAACATGATCCAAAATGCCTTAAGGGGCGCCAAAATCCTTTGTTGCAAACAGGCGCCAGTAGCCCTTACGGGGGCCCTGCAAAGGTACACCTTCTCAACAACGCCGGAGGTGATCGTTTTCGAGATATTTACAACTTTCTATATCGATGCATATTACTTTATAGGCAAATTTGATTTCAATAATTTTTGTCACTCTCCGCTTGCAAATTAAGTTAATTAAATCGAGTAGGCTATGAAAGTTTGTTTATAAAAATAGAAGTTTGCTGTCACATTTTCAACTATTAATTGACACACAAAGAAACAATTTTTCGAGCCCTGAAGAAAAAATTAATTTAATCAATCGTTCTTATTATTATTAATGAATGATAGTAGATTGAAACTATGGAGCATTCAAACTATTGTAGGTAGTTTCAAAGCTATTGACATACAAAGTTGCCAACTATAAGATGTGGAGTTCCACAGGGATCCATTATAGGTCTAATTTTGTTTTTGTCGTACATGAACGATTTCACAGTTCTATTTCGCAGTGAAAATAGCAGCTGTTACACCCAATTAACACTAATAAACAGATTTTTACCGGCATAGGAGTCACCATCCTGACTAATATCTCCGGTGCAACGTTCTGGTGCACTTTGGAAAAATGATGGAACATCAACTTGATGTCGCTGCAGCTCGTCTTACAATAACCGCACTGATATAGAGACACCTGATGCGCCATGGACCAGTGTTGGGTCATCTTGCTAGCCATCACCCTGCTTCGACACGTCTGGTAACCGCACGTTACGAAAGTGCTTGTACTGTGGGAATCCATCAGGTGTTTTCTGAATTCATTTTCGAACAGGAATTCCATGAGGCAGACTGAAAGACAAAGAAGTAAAAAGTAATTCAGTTTAAGTTGCTCCGTTGTTAGGAATCACACGTTAAAAGGTAAGACCTCGTTAGTCCTTAGCTCGAACAAATTTCTCAACTTCTGAGAGTTGTCGTTCGTATGGGGGCGACAACTGATTGACGAAAAAACAGATTTTAAAACAGATTTAAAACAGATGGTTCCAGATGAAAAACGTTTTATTGACTATCACTCATATTTTTTACATTTGAATGACAAATTTTCGAATTCCTCAAAGGTCGATATAAAATTGTATAGGAACGGTATTTTCTTTGTTGAGATATTCTGTTTTCAGAGACATAATGAATTGTCATTTTTAAACTTAATGATAAAACCAGCAAAGATCAAAGTAAATTATGTCATAGTACAATTCCATAATAGTTGGCACAGATTGAGACAGATTAAGGCAAAAACGTCAGTCATTTCTGAGAATTTATATAGTACTTGGTATTTTTGAATGATAGACTATTTGCAAGTAAAGGTGCAGGTATGTATATATGTATAAACTTGGATTTTGAATGTCGTTTGAATTTCATAGAAATTTCAATCAGTTTTAGAAGAAACATGAAAACCAATAGAAATCAGTAGGAGATTCCAGAGTTTGATGAACCATAATTTGAAATAGCGTTCAAGCAAAACACCAAAATAAATACGGCCTGAACAGGTGTACTTGCCAAAATGTCATTTCGGTATAACTCTGAAAATAGTTTATAAAGAGTTAGCTGAAAACCTCGACCTCATTCTGTCAAGTGTATTACCACACTTTTCTTATAGAAACTTGACAAACCTCAGCAAGCTAGGACGAAATTAATGTTATTGCTATTCATAACAAATTATATTTATTATACACATTATTTTTTTTTTTGTACATTTGGCTCAATCAGTTCCAATCTACTTATTCGTGAATAATCATCTTAAGGCGTATGAAAACGTCTAAAGAAGCTATTCTATAAACATTCTATAATTCTATAAAAATCATACATTGTTCCATGGGGAATGTTCCTCCTGACGAAAATCAAGTAGTTTTCATAAAAGAGCTCTAAAATAACGCATTTTAAATTCATCACTTCAACCTTTTTCTTTAAAAAATTATTCAAATACTTAAAAAAGAGGAATGAAATGATGCATTCAACATTTAAAGGAATTCGTTTCTATTTCACGATTTGGCAACATCTGTTATAGCTAATAAAGGACAATGAATCTGTTACCTGTATGAGACAAACAAAGATGACATATTTCAGAGGCGTGCTGTTCTGTTTACTTATGTTCCGAGTTCCGAGACATTCTGTTACATATGCCATTTTGTGCACCTAACCTATCTTCCTCTATATAAATAAATAACAAAACAACTGTTGTTTATGTGGCTTGTGAACGTGGTATTGAACTATAATTTATATTTTGGCTTGATTGTTGATTTATAAAGATAATTTTCGTTTTCTTAAAGTAGAATATCTAGGTACGTAGAAATTATTTCAACTTGATATAAGCGCTGTTGCCAATATGTGAATTAGAAACAAATCCCTTTAAAAATTAAAACACAACATTTGAAACATCAATTTGAATACTTTTCGAAGTGAATTTGAAAAACTCATGAATCAAACTCAACTTTATTTTGTTCAAACTTGCATTTGCTGTAATAACCCAAATTAAGGAACATTCCCCATTCCATAATTTGGTACCCTTCATATCATGTGGATATTGATATGCTTGAAAGTGTTCAAAATAAGTTTTTAAGGTACTCTGCATATAAACTGGCATATCATATTGGTGAGTTTGACTATAAAATTGTATTGGATAACTTGAATACTCTGGCTCATAGAAGATTAGAATCGGATCTTTCACTAATTCATAAAATAATCAATGGTAGCCTCAATTTCCAGGAACTTGTCGAACTTATATAACTTTAAATGTGAATCCAAGGAGAACAAGAAATTCGGAAATCTTCAAAGTACCCTTTTGTCGCACCAACTATGGCCGGAGTGATGGAATGTAGATTCAGAATTTTTCAATAAAGACTGAAAAGATTGTTACTCATTAACTTATTTTAACGATTTTTTAAATTTTATTTAATATATTTTTTCCTTAAACCTAGCTTAGATTACTGTTAAATATATATGTGTGAACGTGTTAATTACTTTTTAAAAATTAGGCATTACCGTGAATAAATAAATATACTGAACAACTGAAAGAATATTGTTTTAATTGAAAGAGGTATATATTTAAATATTAAATTAACCTCTCCTGGGAGAAGTTTATTCAATTATTCTCTCCATCTGCATGATCTACACATCTTTGTGAAGAATTTATTCTGAAATTCATTACTTTCTTCATTTCTCTGGAAGATTCCCACATTTTTTATGAAGATGGACAAGCAGAAAGCCAAAACTATTCTTTTCCAAAAATTAATCTTTCTCAAAATAGACCTCTTTCATTTTCATGGGAAAAATCTACAACAAAAAACCTGATTTTCTATAGAAATGCCGTGGTATTCTTTGGTTATAATCTACAAACGTTTCGACTGCAACTGCGGCAGTCATCTTCAGTGGTGTGGTGGAAATGCTTTTTTTGACATTTCGTTTCCACCACGCCACTGAAGTAGTAGATATAATAGAAGGTTTAGTTTCACTGAGAATTATGAAAAATAATTTTTCATTTCTAACCTCATTTCATCTCCCGTACCTTGAATAAACTGTACTCAATTTTTTTTCATAATGGGCACCACTATTTCATTTCCTTCATTAACATGTATTTGTTATTAAATTTTTCTTCTTCAGAAATTATTTGCATTTGTCCATTGCCAAATTTCTTTTATGAACATTGTCTTCGAACTTCAATTTGTAAAGTTTCTTGTAATTATATCAATAATTCAAATAATTATATGTGACATTTCACATGAATTGTTATCCATATCCAAAATTTTTAATTTCACTGCAATTTGATTATAAAAGCGTTTACGGAAAAATTTCACAGTACATTTTATAATGATTGACTATATCAAATATTCACCAAATCGATACAAGAATTGAATATTATTTTCACTGGACTATTAATTAAATATTGAAGGTTCCAAAGTGACATTTCCATAAAATGTCAATTTCATGAGGGTATTCATGGTGGTCCATCGAGTTGTATTAGAAATGGTATAATTTTGTAGTGAAAAAAAGGATCAATTCTTCCAGAACAAATCAAGAGTAATTTAAAGTTTTCTATCTTCTCTTTATATAATAAGCAAGGTATTGGTTAGTTTTGATTGTTTTAACCTGAATCAACATCAGAGAGATATTTTATTATGTGGTGATTGTTACTTTGATAAAACATTGTTTGAGAATTCAACCAAGATGGACACAAGAATTCATAATAGTTCGAATAAAACTTTGGAGTCGATTTCAGTTTCTCAAAAGAATGGTAAGTACTGTTTTTCTAATAACAATATTTCAAATGAAGTGGGAGTCTGATATTCAAAAGGCAGATTGTGATAAAAGAAAAAACTCTCAATACCATTCAAAAATATCATTTCAAAAAGTAGCCCTTCATACAAAAAAAAAACTTGAGACCAATGGTAGGTCTCTACTACTAGCTAAATTGAATATATATGGAATAGAAGGCACAGTGTAAATTGGTTATATAATTATTTGACCAACAGAAAACAACGGGTTAGAGTGAAAGACATATTCTCTTGTGAAATTGCCAATGATGTTGGAGTTCCTCAGGGTAGTGTTTTGGGTCCCCTTCTATTCATACTATATTTAAATGACATGCCATTGTTTGTTGATTGTGAATTTATGAACTTTTTTGCTGATGATACTCTATTGGCATGTAGCGATGTGAAAAGTAATGATAATCACCTCCAAATTTATATACAGCCAAATGGACTCAAAAATTATTAACCTCAGCATTGATGATGAAAGAATTGAATTGGTGAATTCAAGTAAATATCTGGGATTCCTGATGGATAACACTCTATCATTTGATGAACATTTTGAGTATACTCATAAAAAAAACTCAAAAAATTATTCTTTTTCTCTAGAATTGCTAGTAATCTTTCAACCGAGTCAAGTATCACAGTTTACAAGTCAATTGTTCAGCCACACTTCGACTATTGTTCCTCTATCCTATATCTATTCAATCAGAATAAATTGCCTCAACTCCAAAAACTTCACAATCGTGGTATGAGGATCATTTTGAAGTGCCATAGAGACACCCCTATTACTACTATGTTTAATGTTTTAAATTCCCAAAAAACAATGATTTTTGTATACAAAATATTGAACAATTTAGGACCATCTTATTTCGAACGGTACATTGTCTTTCATCATGATATTCACCACCACTTCACTCGAAATAATAATTTATATATGAACAGAACAAAAACACCATGAATTCTTTGTTTTTCAAGGGTTTTGATCGGTTCAACAAATTACCAAATGCAATTAAAAATAGTCCATCTCTGAACAGGTTCAAAAACGAACTGAAGAAAGTTATTTCAATGTACAAGTATGATATGTATTATGTGCTTGTTACCTGTAGATACAATTTTCTTTCTTGAGTTATTATCATGCCTATCTTACTTCAACTTTAGAATGTATTCATCTAATGTTTGTCATATATTTTTTAAATGATTCCAATATGTAACTAATTTTCCTATTTCAAATAATGATTATTATTATTATTATAACTTTTTTTTAAATCCAGTGCAGACGTAAATAGTCCCCTTCCCCTTTAACCTTCGGAACGAAACAAAACATCAAGGTCGGACAAAATTTATGTAAAAAGGTGACATCCTTAATACTTTTCTATAAGACAATAGTGTTGCATCACTAGTCCCCAAGAGGTCGCAGTAATACCAACATCATAGTGCATCGGATTGTATTTCACTGTGGTCAACAAATTCACAAAAGTCGCTGATATAAATTGTGAAAAAAGTGGTACCTCGCGGTACATCAAGAGTGATTCTGCACTTTGCTTGAAGACAGCCCATGCCAGTTTCTTACACACAGAGTTCTCTCAATATTATATTGAAACAGAAAAGTTGAAAGACAAATATCCCATCAAAACATTTATATCTCTGAAAATACATTATAAAGAAACATAAAACTACAAAAACTCCAACTTACATGAGGTACATTTATACGGTTCGCACAACGTCATGGGATCCACCTTAGTTTCGGCGAGGGCGAATTTCTTTATCGACTTAGAATTCGGCAAGGCGATAACCGAATAATCAGCATAGGGATGCGCCCTGTCCTGATGCAAGAAAACGTATTCTTTCACCGCGGCCCGATACAAGCAGTACGAACAAGAAAATCGGCAGTTGCCGTGGCGGATATCGATATGCATCGGGACGTGCTCCCACGGCGTCTTCATGTCGCAATACACGCAAGGAATCATCGACTCCGGGTCCATGGAGTGCGCCTTGAGGTGCCGCTCCAGAAAGTCCCTGAAATTCGTAGTGAACAGGCAGTAGTAATGGGGGCATTTGTACAAGTTGCCGGCTTCCTCAATAAACTTAGCCATAGCCTTTTGCGTCTTCCTCGGCTTTCCTATTTCCGCCACAGAAAGCTTTGCTTCCTTCACCACCAGGTTCAGGTTCTGCTTGACGATGGGGGCCAATGGAGGAGGCTGCGGCTCTGCTAAGGACATGACATCGGCTATCTTGAACGGGAATGGATTGTCGTCCGTTAGCTCAATTTGAGCGACAGTTGCCTGCGCTTCTTCAGCTACAGTTTCGTCTATCGTCTCCTTGTTTTCAGGACTCTCACTGACGTTGGAGTTTTTCTGGTCTTTATCGATTTCCTCCTCCCAGTCGTTCTTGGTCACGCTTAGGGCGTCCCCGCTCAACCTCCGGATCCGAAGCAAGTTGAGTGGCCTTACTGGAGTCGGTTGTTCGACGGAATCTGAACCGGGCTGAGTGGTGTTCAAAAAATCAGCGTGCTCAGTGATGGTGTGCTTGAACAAGTTCTCCAATAGCGATGCTTCTTGCGTAGCTTCGATTTGGACGCCGCACGTCTCGCAGAGCGTCGTATTTCGACCCACAGCGCTGGCCCCATGCATTTCCCTGCAGTGCCTCTGAAACACGTCCTTGTGGTCTGTGGAGAAGACGCAAGGCGGCACCAGACAGCAGAACGTCGTCGACTCGCTGGTCTTGATGACCTTCACGAGACCGCCGATTTGCAGTGTTTTCGTAGAACTATCGGAAGGTTTCACGTTGACCAACTCGTTAACGTGTGTCAAGGGGGGCGGACCGTCGTCGTCGTCGTCTTCAACGGTAACCGCGGGTAAATTTCCCGCCGTCCCGAGCTTACCCCTCAGTTTTTCGATCATGTCAACGATAACTCTGTCGTTCTTCTGCGTGACGTCGAAACTCGGCGTGGGGAGCAGAGGGTCCTCCTCTTCGGGCAGGACGGGGTTCTTCATCTTCGTTTGGGTGGGAACTGGGGGCGGTGCTATTGATGGTTCCGTAGGAGGTCGCACGATCGGGGGGTTCTTCTCCAAGACAGGCATGGAAATGGGGGAATTGCTTCTTCCGCGGTAGCACATGCTATCCGTCAGTTCGTCCTTGGGCTCTTCCTTGACCATCACGTCGTTCTTGCTCAACCTATAAGACATATTATTCTAAAAATCGCAACTACTTGAAAGGTTATCTAATTATTTCTCCAACATTCATTGAATTTCAATAAATCAACTTTATCCGCTGATTTTATATAATACATATTATGTAATGACCAAAAGTCATTGTGGATCAACCACTGATTAGTTCATTTAGGCACAGTACCTTCATAGTATGAAGTTGATGATCCGTGTATAGTATACTTCATCAGCATTTTCCAATGGTATAGAAGCAACCTATTCCTGTTCAATGAATGGTTCAATTCTTCACCGCATTCGCAGACTAGTCCATATGTCATCAATGAATCAAGTGAAGCCTTGCTTTTTTTCTTTATATACACGACTTAACAATTATTGACTTAAATGGTTCCTTCACTTTATTTGCAGATGTCACCACAATATTGTGGGATGAAAGCCATATTTCAGAACTTCATAATGCCACTTCCTCAGATATCAATAAAATTACAAATTATTTGAACCAAAATCAATATATTATCTTTCAATTGTACTAGCTTCTAATGCTAGTAAGTGAGAACAAACACATCATACACCAAGTTTCTCGACATATTTATTAATAAAAAACTTAAATTTGAGGACCCCACTGGTTTTCAGTATGCTATTCACTACAAAAAAGTTATTGTGATACGGAAAGATGTGATATTTTTGAAAAGAATGTTTCTGAAGATCAAATCCATTCCAGTGTAGTTTGTGGAATTAGTTGTTTGTTCATATGTAATTATGGTAGGTCCGTAGCCGGGCGATTCAACGTGGGTGCTTTGTTCACTCACTCACTCGACCAATGCGTGAGTCGGTAGTTCAAGCCGCAGGCTGAACGATCGATTTTCACTTGCTATCGTCCAACCCGTGTTAGGAATCACACGTTAAAAAGTAAGACCTCATGAGTCCTTGTTTTAAATTCTGAGGCTGTCGTTCGTAGGGGTGCGACAGCTGGGTAACGGCAAAACATATGTTGAACATACTGTTATCATAGACTTGTGCGAGTTTGTCTGTTCATATAATACTATTTTCTTTCATGAACATTTGAAATTCCAAGAAAGTTGTTAATTTTATCGCAGGATAATGTACATATTTGTTTTCAATTTATAGTTTCTTTCTGTATTTATTTTGTATCATCATACATTTGACTGTCTTTTTGCTATAAATTTTTCTTCAATAAGAGTAACTCTTTGGACAATTGAGTATATTGATTAAGATTATTAATTCACTCATTTCTCTGAGGCCTCAAATTGATATTCCTTGCACATTGCCAAGCTACATACACTTCCGTTTGGAAGAAGAATGTGAACTGACTGAGCGGGTAGCTGCAATGTGAATTGCCGCCTTATATTTGATTTTCGACCATTTGTTTACCAGTGTTTACAACAAACATATTCACCACTCCTCACACTTCAACTTGTATAGAAAGAGTAGTTCGATATCATCTGGTTCGTGAACATGTTCCATATTTTTTCCAATCTGAATTGTCCTACTCTGGCGTCCCCATTTCCCCCTTTACTGCAAGATTTAAAGGGGGCAGACTCAAGAGTGTATCCAATGCTGGTGTTGGTGTGTTTCTCATTGATCCCAATATTAAAAAACGAGCTAGTGTTTGCTTCTGGTCTAGTTTGCTAATAGAAGTAGACAATAAATATGTCTGGTGTTAATGCTTATTACTTTCAGTAAGTGCTTCTGGCCAGTTCAATGCCTATCTCTCTAGTATGCCCAAATTTTGATTTCAGTATAGTCTGGGATCTAGTACCACTCCCAAACATTTCACCTCTTCCAATAATTATATATCTCAAATTGGTGGGAGATATTACGGCCGATTCAGTCTTTTTTTCATGGTTCATTTTGTTGTTCACGGTCTACTACATATGTGACCTCACTATATTATTATATTTGCCCTAGACGAGAATATAAAATGACTGAGTCGTCTGCATAGCCCAGTAATTTATATCCATTGTGAACAAGAACCTCCCTCCCTAAGAACAGTAGCTTGATTCACCTCTACTACTGGTTCCCTGTAACGGTCTTTTATACTGATGTTCTCTTTTACTCGACCCTTGTAAGATCGATTCTAAAGATGTATTACTACCCATTTATGTTCCTATTTGTTATTGATTAAAATTAAAAAAAGAATCATAATTACCTATTGCACAGTTTATCAACGAAGTTTAGAGATGTCCTCGAGCCAACCGATCGGTTCAGTTCATCCATCTTTTGCAGTCGCTCTTGCTCGATCTTCTTGTTCTCCTCTTGCAAGTCCGTTTTACATGTAAACACGTTCATTTCAATTTCCTTTTTCACAACCTTCTCGATTTTTTCCACTTGTTTTATATTCAGAGGCTCTGCCAAAATGGGGGTGTCTCCGCTCTGTTCAGAGACTTCTTTTTGTTCTTTCTGTGGTGTGCCTTCACTGCTTTCTGTCGTATCTCCACCTTTCGCCTCGTCCGACGAAGACTTCTTCTTGTCCGCGTTGTCGGTCAGTTCCATGATAACCTTCAACTTTTCCTGCGCCTTGGCTTTGGCAGCTCGCTTGCTCTTGCCCGGAAGTATCTTTTCCGCGTCTAATTTCAAATCACAGCGAATTCTTGTGGATTTTTCAACGTCTTTATCGCTGCTTCTGCTTGAAACCGATTCGCTATCGGTCGTGGTGGAGGTGTCTTCTGATTCGTTTTCTTTGGACCGCAGGTACCTTCTCTCTAGCAATTTTTTCTTGGACTTTGGCCCTGGTTTCGGTCCGGGTTTTCGGCGCTTTGGAGGAGCCATTTCGGGTTCAGGTTCTTCCATAACGTCCTCAACAACCTCTTTCGCCTTGGCAGCAATCGTTTTTTCTTTGCCTTTAGCCATAACAGCTTCGGATGCTTTCTCGCTTGGTTCTGCTTCTTTGAACATCAGTTCTGGGGTTTCGGAATATTTCTGAAGTTTCTCTATCTCTTCGTCAAAGTGAGTTGATAGATTAATCTTATAAATATTCGGTCTGATCAGATGGTAGATATTGACGTGCTCTTGTACTAGTTTCTCGTTCATCTGAACATAGTTGCACTCGCTGCAAATATATCCGAACATAATGGTGGAATTGTAACTCTTACGAACAATCGGCATGGCGTCTTCTTTGTGAACGGTATTCATATGATACTTAAGAGTTTTGGCCCCGCAAAAACAAATGCCGCAATTGGGACAAATGTGCCTATACTCGCCGGTGTGAGTAGACAAGTGGTCATAAAACAAAGTCGGAAACACTACCGTGTTAGCCGTGCAAAACCTACAAACAAACTTGACCTTCTTGGCTCCTCTCATTGCCGCGCATGCCTCGTATTTGCTTAGGTTTTTCTTCGAGTCCGCTATAGATTCGGCAGCTACGGCTGGCGTAAACCTCGAACTCAACACCTCCGAATCGGGATGAACCGTCTTGTAATGCGTTGTGATGAACTTTCCCTTGAAATCGCACAATTTACAAGCGTAGGAGGACTGCATAGCAAAATCGACAAAATATTCCTTATCGGGCTCCAAGAAATCTTTGGAGCTGGAATCGTTCAGTTCCTCTTCTACAGTCGGTTTAGCGACATCTTCAGGTACAGGCTTCTTCTTCTTATTCTTCTTAATCACCCCACTTGCCCATCCACCACGCTTTCTCTTCAACTTTTTTCTAAGTTTGGCATTTTGCTTAGTCTCATTCGTTAGGGAAGGTTCTTTTTCATATTCGCTGCTTTCGGACCCTGAATCGTTCTCAAAATCTGACGCTTCCTTTCTGGAATCCTCTTCGATAACAGAATTTTCGTTATCGCTATCCTCATACGTCATACTTCTTGTTAACCTCCTAGAGTATTTTTCGTTGTCCTGTATTTCGCTTTCGGGTATTTTGGAAATAATAACTCTGACATTCTTCATCGTGTTTACTTCGGTGTGATCTGAAGTCTTCACTTTCGGTTTAGGGCCGGGTTTTTTTCGGACTTTAAGGGGTTCTTCGGATTCGCCGGATGACGGGACCGATAGAGCATGGGGATCATCTTTCAACAGATGACACATCCTTTTACCTGTCGCTGTCAGAACCCCATCCCGTATGAACATATCCTGGATATCTTCGTGAAGCTTGTCCAGTTCCGATCTGCATTTTTTTCTAGGTTTTATAGAGCACGTCGTTGTCCTCTTCCTAGATTTGATTCTTTCTCCCACGGTGACAACTACGTCGCCCTGTATCAATGACCTATCCAAGTCAGTAGTAGTTATCTCTGAAGACATTGTTTCAGCTGGAGGCAAGTCCTCTTCATCTTTGCCGCGATCCGCCGAATCATCAGGAAACTCCGAAGACATGGTTTCAGTAGGAGGCGAGTCCTCTTCATCTTTGTCGCGATTCGCTGAATCTTTGGGAGATTCTGACGAAATTCGCTTAACACGTCTCCTCAATTTACGTTTCGGAACGATTTCATTCTTTGGAGCGACATCTTCGGGAATCGCATCTTCTGGTGCAGCATCAGTTCCTGGTATATTATCAACAGGTTCAGCAACTTTTGTCACTTCCAGAGGCTGTTTTGCGGACTGTTTCACTTCAGACACTTCCCCAGCTGATTCTTCAGTTTTCTTTGACTCCGCTTCTGGACTAGCCTTTTTCTGGCCGTCTTCATCTTCAGAACTATCTTCTTCTTCAGCTTTGATGATTTTCTTTATTTTCGACAATTCTTTTGGGTTGAAACTGTCTGAGAACGTGCTTATGAGAGAATAGAGAGCCGTCTTCTTTTCTTTTTTGTTTTGACTTCCTAACAAATTCGCAAAGAACTGAGCAAGGATGGTTTGTTCTGCAGGGGGTTTGGTTTCCTGTAGTTTGTGTTCCGGACTTTTGGCTGCTTCCTGTACAATGTCTTGTTTCTCGGTTTCAGTTTGTACAGCAGGAACAGAATTCGTTGCATCATCCAGACTTTTCTCCTGGGCTTTTTTTGTGAGCTCTGGAGGACCTGATAGTTTTTCATCTTGGATAACGTCTTTTGATGTGATTTCTGCGTCTTTCTCAGCAACGACTTTTCTATGTTTAATTTCTATATCGTCAACTTGCCGAACCTTCTCCGGTTCACTGCTGCTTGCGATATTATTAGCATCCTCCATCGCCTCCTCATCCGTATCATCTTTGGCCTCGCAATGACCGGTATCTGCACCACCGTCATCAGATTCTTGGTCGTTACCCTCTACGGCCTGGGGCGCCTTATCGTCCTTATCCGTCTCAGAGTCATCCTGCACCATAAGAACTTCGCTAGTAGGTTCCACTCGTAACGGTTCTGATTCCTTCTTTATTTTCGGAATGCGGAAAGACTGCTTACCGTAGCCTTTACCAGTTTTATGTTCCTCTTTTCCAGAGTACAAGCTATCTAGAGGAGACATGAATGAATCCGAATCGTTATTTGTTCTGGATCTAGAGTTTGATCTAGACCGCGATCTATTCCGATTAGTCCTTGTATACATTCTATCGAATTTGCTGTCAAATCGGTTGGGCCTATAGTCTTCCCGAACCCTTGATCTACCTCTGTCGAATTCTCTATTCAGTCTTGGGTCTCCTCGAATCAAACGAGGATCTTTAGACTCGCGGCTGTCCCTAGGTTCTCTATTATCTCGATTATCTTTGTATTCTCTGTTATCTCTCGACTCTCTGGAATCTCTGGTATCTCTGTCAACAAGAACTCTGTTGTCTCTATAATCCCTGTGGTCTCTTACAACTCTCGGATCCCGACTATTCTCTCGCATTTCCCTGAATTCCCTGTAGGTCTTAGGACCCCGATGCATCGGTTCGAAGTCTCTGCGATCCATTCTCCATCTAAAATCGTCTTGTTGCTTGAAGTCTCGGAACGGCATCCCAAAAGAGTTTTGCTTATGTTCCTGGTAATGTGGTGTTTCAGGAGATAAAAGGGGTGGTCCTCCATTGTATTGGTTGGCAGGTAATGGAGCATTGGGAGGGTAATAATCTAGCTTGTGCATGGTATCCATTTGATTGTAGTTGGAGTAAGACTGATTAAACCTCTGAGGGGTTATCAGAGGTGGGATGAATCTATTCGCAGGAGGATCGAACCGAATATCTGATCTTCCAGAGTTCGAAGACATACAAAAATCTTCCCTGGCATAATCGGATATAAAATTTTCATTCGGCGACATCAGCCGCGATGGAGTGGGCAGTAAAGGCTTGTTTGGTATCAAAGGAGTGTTTCCTAATAGCTGCGGAATCTGCGGTAAGGGTTGATTAGTCATCATCTGTTGAGTATGAACTGGAAGCATGAGGGGCTGCATTGGTGGGATCAATCGTTCCGGTTCCGTGCTAGTGTGTATGAACTGGCTGACGACAGTGTTAATCAACTGCGTAGTGCACGGGTTCATAATTTTTTGAAGAGCAGTAGGAATTTCCGGCTCCAATTGAGAGCATTTCACCAAACTAGCAGGCGGGGGTGGTACATCCGCTAGGCGATTGAGGATAGGGGGTTTAGGTGGAGATTTTTTCATGTTAGCTTCGATGCTATCAGTCACAGCCTGATCGATGTCAGGATCGACGATTGGTTTCCTTGGTTTGGGGTGGTATTTATCCGCTAAACGTTTGTAAATAGGAGACATACCTTTGCTAATCGCCTCGTTTTTCTCCTTAAGCTCCTCAATTTGATTCGAAATATGGTTCTTGATAACTTCCATTTTAGGATCTTTATATAGATCGGGTTTTTCAACAGTTTCACTTGACGAAGCCTCAGATTTGCTCTGCTCATTGGTATTGTTGATGGGTTCGTCCTCAATGACGATTACACCATTATGAGCATCCTTGTCTGAATTTTCGCGTTCGTCTTTGGAACTAGTGGATTCTCTGTGTTTGTCAACTTTTTTCTTTTCGTCTTTGTTTTTAGATTCTTTCGTATCGGTTTTGGATTTTTGAGCCTCTCCCTTAGATTTTTTCTCATATTTCTTATCTTTAGATTTTTCGCTTTTCGAAGACGAAGATGAGGTAGGTTTGTCTTCCGTCTTTCTACTTTCATCTTTTGACTTACTATCTTTCTTCTTGCTTTCACCTGAACTTGATTTATCCTCAGCCTTAACTTTTTCATCTCTAGCAAGGGAACTTCTCCTCTCAGCTTTTTTCTTATCTTCCATGATTTTTTCGTCAATTGTAGAGATGATCTTACCAAAAATGCTGTCTGGCTCGATCGTGACTTTGGAAGAGGGTTTTGGTTTCAGATTCAACTGTATGGATTTTTTAGGGGAATCAACCTCAGGTGCCTGATAAGGACTAAATTGCTTGGGAGAAGTATCGTCCCTCTTTTCCTCATCCATCTTTTTACTCAAGCTCAAATTATTTTTTACAGTAGTATTTATATCACTAGCCTTCCTCGTAGATGAAGGCGATATCGATTTGACTTGCTCCATTAGAATTTGATGAGCAAGTTTGTCTCTCATGTTATTAAGCTCGCTTAAAGAAGCTCCTTCATTAATTTTCTCCTGAACATCTTCTTCCAAGTCTTTGAGATCATCAAGACTTATAGGCGGTTTTGACATGTCCGGGCATTTGATACTTAAAGGCGAATTATTTTTAGGTTTTGACTTTGTAAGACTTTCTGCTGCACTACTGTAGATGTCTATTTTCGGAATGTGGGACATAGGTTCTAACCTGAAAAACCATGAGAGTTATTTTTGTTGTTTGTAATAAACATATAATTATATATACCTCTCTGTAGGAATTGGTAGTGGTTTTATATCGAAAACATTTCTAATATCCCTAGGGGGACTAGGACTTGCAGGTGTAGACCTAGGACTAGGTGCCTTCTCTTTTCTAACTATAGTTAACGGTTTATGATTCTGAAAAATGTTCATTTTATGAGATTCCTGTACAAGTTTGAACCAAAAATACTTACCACCTTCAAGTATAATTTTGATATAACATCTTCACATTTGTTTAAAGTTTCCAACTTCAATCTGGAAGAAAAGCGGACAATATATTAAATCAGATGAAGTTTTGTTGAGTCCATAACATTTACAAAAATAGATTAGATAGGTCAAAGGAAAGACAATACAATTCAGATTTAAAAAAAGGTCATTACATTACATGGATTTCTTAAAGTAGCCTGTTCTTAAATATAAATATGACACGCTATGGAATATCAGTTTCTAATAGGTAAAAATCATATACTTGACTGATGTCTGAGATAATTTTCTAATTAATTTAAAATATGAAAGCAGAAAGCAGCAAGAGTTTTTAACAATCTGTATTTGAAAACCTCTTTATATAAAGAATTTTTCAAATATAGGGGTACAAGTAAAAGAGGTACAAGAGGTTTCATAAAGCAGATAAAAATTCATCAAATAATTTGCTTCTGTTGCATGTGCGATATCTTCAAATTCAAACGTTTAAAAATTTGTTTCAAACTTGGTTCAGAATAGAGGTCAATTTCGTGAAATCTATGGAAACAGGATGTTATCTTTATATTCCTCTCAATATTCAATTCAATTTTGACCAATACATTAAAAACAAGGATTCATGTAATAGAAGAATTTTAAACGGTGGGACAGTAGCCTGGCGAGTTGACGTGGGTGGTGCCTCACTCTCTCAACCGACCGCTGTGTGAACCGGTCGTTCAAACACGTGTTAGGAATCATACGTTAAAAGGTAAGACCTCGTTAGTCCTCAGCTCGCACAAGTTTCGTCTTTTGAGAATTGTCGTTCGTAGGGGGTGACCGCTGGTTAACGGATAAACAGATTTCAAGATATTTGTTCAACAGATTTATATAGACTGAGCTAAAAAATTATACTCTGCTTACAATACCAAAATATCCTACACATATGAATTCAGTATTGTTGTCCTTCTTTGTCATCCTGAAAATATCCCAAACATTAGTTGACTTCGTATTGGAATTCCTTTTCATATCCCTAAAAAGAATTTCTGCGAACGCCACTGGTCAGATTTCAAGCTGTGCGGTGTTACTTTCGAAATTGTTCAGGAGTGTTTTTTATAGTGGTAAATTACATTCCTCATCGCTATTTTAATCACTCCCATTGATTTCCCCTTGAAAGTTGACCAAGAAACCTTCTACCACTGATAAGTGTACACATTCGTTTTGTTTGTTGAAATTTATACTCCACTTTTCCGAAGCGATAAATTTTACAGCATATAAAAATGAAAACTCGAAACCTCAATTTTAGTCTCAATAACATGCTACAAATTCTCTTATCTCTACAGTATTATAGCCCGCTCTAACTTAGGTACATTCGAAATTTAATACAATTTCAATTCGTCTTATTAGCTATTCAAAAGATATTCCATTCCTCAAGATATTTTCCTTCAATACAGGTAATTTTATGGTGCTTTTAGATTTCCTCTATCCATCCATCGGTATTTTGCCCTCTAGATATACATATACTCATAGATCTGCCGAACGTAACTATATACAAGTTTTTTGTTCGTTCAACCAATAAATGGTAAGGAAAAATTGCTGCATCTACATTTAACATGAAATTCATATTTTCAGTAAAACTTTTGTTTATTTTTTAAACTTTCAACACACTCTACAACTCAAAGGTATGATTGGAAAATATAAAATGACCTTAACTTACATATAAATTGAGTTAAGAGAATACAAGTGCATCGAAATTTTCTTCCATTTCCATTGCAGAAGTTTTTTGTCACAATAAATTCAATTTATTTAATTCAAACCTCTCTAAAAAAAGTCTTTCAGTTAGATTATTTTCAGAGTGTGTTATTTTCGTTGCTTGGTAACTCATATATTTGATTTGTTGGATCAATTTAAATAATTACTTCTCATTTCTGTTCATACTATTAACCTCTCAATGAAAGATATATTATTCAAATCGAGTAACTTTAAATGTCAGTTTGACTTGTAGATATTAATTACATAGTTCAAGATATGGTTCAGAACTAGAAAAAATGCTTGTTAGTACTAAAAATAACAGAGACAGATGTGTATTACTATATATAGCAGGTAGGGGTATTTTTCTCTAAAATTCGGACATCAACCCGAATTGTCGTAGTTTCGCAATACTCATATTGCTTGGAAGTTCGAAGGCCGAAGCATATTCACTAAGTTTGCAACTTAATTAAGCCACTGATTGACAACTGACATTTATTCTCTATTTTTTAGGTCGGATCATATCGCTGCGCCTATAGAACAACAAATAAGAAACTCACATTCCTTGAGGCTTCAGAACGTATTCTTTCTACACGGTCTTAACCGAAGATTCGTCGTACCTCACCCAACAGTTTTGTAGCCGACGTGGAAGGCATCGATTACGTAGTGTCCCATGTTGGCCTCTTTGCCATCGTGGTACACGACGACGAAAAGCTTCTACTACTACTCTTCTGGAGACTGTGACAAAACCTGTATCGAATCAATTTTGAATGGGATTTCAAATTCCAAAGACTTGATTAATCTTCGTGCAACCAACATGACTGTAAATGAAAAACTTCAAATGCAATATGAGGATAACGGAAGGTTCGCAGAGCAATATTTGCTCTCACGCTTCGTCCTGGTCATCAGTCTTCGACGAAATCGTCCTCTCTCATCTGTTTTTGGAGACTAATACCTCAAGCGCATCGTCACGAAGGAGGATAGTTTTGAGTCATGTTTACCTTTAAGTATATTCCCTTTTAATCATTTTAATCAACAACAGTTTCAACTCTGTCCAACTGACTGAGTCATCGCCTAATTGCTGAATTAATCGCAGATGAAAGAAGTGAATATTTACCCAAGATATATTTCTTGCAGGTCAGTCATAACGGGATTTTTTTCACCCTAATGTCGGCAATGCTGAAAATTCTCTGTTAGATTCCCAAAATTACTTGTGAGACCAACGAAAAGAAGTTGAAAAGAAACTCTCATATCTAAAGTTTAAGATAAAACGTAAATGGTCTGTCGCATTTCAATAAAGGAACTTTTTCTTTCAAAAAAATGACAGTTTGCTGCAAGGGAAATTTGTTATACCACAAAGATGTCAGCAAACGAACTAAGAGAAAAAAACCGAAACATTTAGTTATGAAATGATTTCTGGAGAGTTAACTTTCGCTACTCATATAAAATTGGAATGTGAAGGCAAGACTGATGATTCAAATTCACAATGGGCAAAAACAGTAATCAACACCACTGAAAATGGTGAACTGAAAAAAATTTTAGATGATCTTTTCACATGTATGTAGTACGGGATTATTGCTCTTGGTATTTCAAAGACCTTTGACAGTGTATTATTCGATATAGTTTCCTTCGAGAGCGATTTGTCTTTAGCCTCAAAATAGGCCTCCGTTTCGACGATTACCTCTTTATTGGCGATTAATGGATGTCCGAGAGCAGAAAATAGTATCTGGAAGCCAGATCTTGAGAATACGATAGATGCAGAAGTAATTCATGTGATTTTGCCATCGTTTTTATTGATTTGTGACACGGTGCATTTTCTTGATGCAACAGCACTTTCTTTTTCTCCAAATGGGACCGTTTTTACGTGATTTCGACACTCAAATGCTCCAATAACCCCATGTAATAGTATCTGTTGATGGTTTTTCCTTTTCAAGATAGTCTATGAATATTATACCATATTATACTCATATCATAACCTTGCCAATCGAATGTTGCGTCATTGCACGCTTTAAAGTCGGTTCACCACGTGCAATCCACTCAGATTATGATCGTTTTGATTCTGGTATGAAATGGCGAAGCCACGTTTCATCCATTGTCACATACAAAGCCTAAATTCGGGTTTTTCGGGATGGAACAGCTTCAAACAGGGCCCAGAATCATCAGTTCGTTGTTGTTTTTGGTCAACTGTAAGCTCGCGCGGCATCCACTTTCAACAGACCTTTCGATACCCAAATATTCATGCACGATATGTCCAACATGTTCCTTTGATATCTCCAGAGTCTCAGCTATCTCGAGCAACTTCACGTTGCGGTCATCCAAAATTATTTTGTTAACTCTTTTGACATTTTCATCGGTAAGAGCCTCTTTGGGGCGTCCACTGCGTGTATCATCCTAGGTGCTCATTTCACCTCCTTTAAACTCGGCAAACCACTTCTCAACGGTTGATTTTCCTGGTGCAAAGTCTGAACAATGTTTATCAAGCCAAGCCATGGCTTCAATAGTTTTTTTTGCCAAAAAGCAATGCTTGATTGACAGAGGAAAATCCTTTTTATCCCTTTTCTTCAAACTAACAAAAGTTGCTTCACTCAAAATGTTCTATCCCACAAACTAATAGTCCGACAGCTGTGAAATTTGTACACGTGTCTTTTGAGGGTTAGGGTTAACTGTAAATTATATGGATTTATTAGTAGTAGCGCCATCTGTTTGTTAGCATACGAACTGTTCAGTACATCTATATACTATCAGCTGATAATACATTTCTACGTGGACAAGTTTCATATTTAATGAAGATCAGGAGGAAATTCGACTTGGGGTGAGAGTGAATAAGTTGAACCGAACAAAATCATATCAGGGCGCAATAGCTGTGAAAGAAAATAATACACACCTCAGCGACTCATGTATTACAAAACTCAAATTAGAACTTGGAAATACTGCTCAGATATGCGATTTAAATGCTACTCAATCGCCACTTCTGCACAGACACCGCTTCCAAAGCGCTTTTTCTTCTGCACTGTACAACAATGAAAAATACATATATGTCTTACATATGCTCTTCATTTATTCAAATATCTTTAGATGCCTCGTTATCAACATTTATAAAGGGGGTACAAAAAACAAAATAAAATACCACTTATATTAATTCAAGATCTTTTTGTTTATTTGAGAAGAATAGGAGTTGATTGAGTTTTATCAACACAGATGTCACTATCTTCTCAGAAAAAGTAAACTTGAAAAAAAATAGATAGTTCAGAATTGAATTTTCTAATTGAAACATTTTTATTAACTCCTTCAAACTTAAATTACCTTATAACTCTATATAAGAAAGCAACCTGAAACTGGTGTAGCTCGCAAGACACAACCTTTATGTGATACGCCATTCAATATGACCAAAATGTACATTTCAAAGTTTTACCCTCTACGAAAAAACCTGCATTCATTTCACTAATTTCGTACAAGCCGATAATACTTACTTTTTCTTCCTGTCTGTTATCATAGCGTGCAGAGACTCCATCTTGCTGAGCTGTTGCTCTCTATTCTTTTTACTCGGATCTCTGAGTTGAATTATCATATTATCCAAGAATGGAATGTACTGCTGGAGACTCTCCATTTTCCTGCGATATTCTTCTTCAGCCATATTGCTATTTTTCTGAAAAAGTATTCACTTGTGTCAAGTACAGGGTGTTTATAATCTGCCTTACAATGGTTTGTATCGCCCGAGTATTAAGTTATTTCTACACAAATTTCTACAACAGCAATCACTAGTAATAATTATGGCAATGTTCCCAGCATATTCCATTTGGTGGAAATATCCAGAAGAATCATTTCTAGAAGCCTTACTGCATCTTGGAAAATTAAACTACATGGATTCATTTAAACACGTGAATTATATAGATCTTGATAATTATACATACAAAAGGAAACACGGCGGATTATCTTCACAAAAGACGTCTAATCAATGCCAAGCGACAGTATTATTCATTTTTTTCACACAGCACAGCGACGATATTACTGTCAAATGGGTCGTTCAGTGTAACCATGTAAAATAATTACTCACCAGAGCGAGAATTTCTACTAGTATCAACACTTTCAACTTGAATATATCTCTTTAAGCCTCTCCAATATGGAGTGTCAATGTTATACGTAGAAGGTCGTTCTTGAAAATGACACGTCATCACTTTAGTACCTGCTTTTTATCTTAGGCTGATTGCCTGCTTAAATAGCCAGCAGATTGCTTACTGAATATGCTTTCTTCTTCTCAAATCTACGTCTAAATTAATAATTTTGAATATTATCAGAAACAGTATGAATTGAATATCAGTGCTGCCCAACTAGCTGGAGCAGTAGAAATCTAGGGTCGTATGTTGTAAAACTGAGCATGCGTACAATATACCTTAAGTAGGTACTCGTCGAGGAGTATTGAACAGCCATTTTCTAATCAGGTGAGAGTAATTCGAAGAAGTAGTGGAAAAATACCTAAATAGTTACCTTGTGGAAGTTGAAATATCACTCATATGAATTAAGTATGTGTTGTGATTTTCTGAGAACATTTAACAGCAGTGACCAAAATTGTAGACTCCTCACATTTATTCAAAACACTATTTTCGAATTGTAAATATTAAACGCTCTAACGCTCAAATATGCACGTGTTAGTCGCGCGAGATTCTGTCATCGAAGCCATTTTGCTTGAGACAACGGCCGGCCGTTCTTATCCCAGCAACCGCCTATCCCAATACGACTCGTCTAATAGTTCAACACTTCTTACCTTATATACTTCACTCAGTTTGCACTTACACTAACAATGTCTGAACTCATGTTAAATAAAACAAACGTAAACCGAATAAACTTACACACTTTTTGCACATTTTATAATATTTTTCGATGAAACACTGAAGCAGGGGCTTCTAATCTTCATCCTTCCTGTAAAATTGTAAAACGAGCTAATGCGCACAACTACGATGAGCGCCGAGTTTTTCCGATATCCTCACAGAAAGGCTTTCTGGCGGCTTCGTGTTCAGCCATCGGTCTCTAGATGTAGTAGAGTTTGGTTTGTCAAGTATGTAGCGTATATTTGTTAAAAGTGGCAGGTAGAGGAATTCACGTAGTAAAAGCGACGTATACGATAACCAGTGTAGTGTTGGCAGTCTCCTTGGAGCAAAAAGTGACGCGTACAGATTCATAAATCATAGTATATTATTACGACCATCTATTAGGAGTTGGAATTTGACTGATTGTAATGTATATAAAGTATTAATTTCTGATGCAAAACGAGCGGATGACGTAGCGTTTAGTTTTATTGTTGCTGAATACGATCATTGTCAAAGAGGTCGTTGAGGTCATCGACATATTTCGTTGCAGTGAAACAGTATTTCCAAGCAGATTTTGTATATTAATTCTCGGCAATTTCTTGCTCGGAAAATTGCGATCAATAATCATCCGACTAGAGTTGACGCCCAAAATAATAATCTGTTTGTGGTGAATCACTTTACTTTTCACATAAATTACTAATTGGTTAAGAGTATGAATGTATACAGGAAATTCTCATCTGAAAATCGGGGACAACAGGTACAAAAAAATAGCTAAGTATTGGTATTTCCTAAATTCATTATCAGATGAATTCCAGATAATTTGCTGTTATTTTGTTACACTCTATGCCACTTTTCGGTGATTTATGTGTAAACTGTAAATGTCAGGGCCACTTTTTATTACTTTGAAGTAGGTATTTCTGCTATACTTTTTTCCATCAAACTCTATTGGGACTGTTGGAAATATTCATTTAGAGTAAAATGTATCTTACCTGCGTACAAATCTTGAAGGAAATAGATATAGGTAGTATTTTTACGGTTTCAAAATCGATGAAACGGATTTTCGACAAAATTGATCAAACTTTTGAAGTTATTGACGTAACTATGGTAAACAAATGCTTCAAAACAGAATAACAGGAATGTCATCTTCGTCAATAATGTTGTCAAAAAGGTAGAGTAGGTATATTGTGTTTTGAAAATCCTTGGTGAAAGTTTGTGAAAATTACCTTTAATTGTTTTGAAGGTCCTAGAAATACTGAATCAGGAAACTACTGTAGGTGTATTATTACAGTGCGGATATAGTATAGAGGGTGATAATACAAGAAATTTCAAGCTAATGAAGGACTTGACTGAAATACTTTTTTTATGAAGCTAGTTTGAAGATTGGAATGGGCACCTTATAAGTGAAACAATTCATCTATTTACTGTGTGTATACATATTAGGTAGCTACTAAATTAACAAAGTAAGTCTAAAGTTCTTTGAGTATTTTTACTATTTTTCAATTATAACGTTAATTTTTCGTGCATGGATCTATGTTCAGAATATTCTGGAATACTATCTAAATTTGTCTTTACGATTTCACTGTTCTTACGCTTTTGATGTAATAAAATTGATACAAAAGTAGTTTAACTAACTTCTAGCTTAACTTTCAAGTGATTGGTCTACAGGGAGGTTCACTATATATGTATCATTTGAATAGTATTAGGATGAAACAATACTTTTAGTTTCTAAACATAATTTTTCTGTTGGAATTATTTACACAACCTCAATATTCATTGTCATCAAGTAAATATAATTTATACTAATACCTGTGGCCTTACTAAATTTTCAGAAAGTTACCCATAATGTAGAGGGTTTCATGACCCCTAATCCATGGATTTTCCATTTTGATTATATTTGAACCATTGGCGTATCTATAGGGTAACAAGGGCAATACCCCTGATCCAACATTTTAGAAAGTTACTGAAGATCAAGTGATATTTCTTCAAATTCGGTTTTGAGTTTTTTTGAGTTTCTCATTAACAAAAAATCGTGAAAATGTACTGTACAAAAACGGAGATACTGGACAATAATTAAGCAAAGTTTAGTTTTTTGTTCACAACTGTTACAAATTCGTAACCGTACTTTGTGGGTCCTCTATACTGAGTGATTGACCATTCAGTCGGTTGTCTATATAAAAGGAAACTCACTATGGTTTCAATATGAATCAAATGGAGTAATCTTGTTGGTCAGTTTAACTGTCTGTTTTGCATAAATTGAAAAGTATCAGTGTGGTGTATTGTTTGAAGTGCTTATTTGAAATCCGTTATGTTATTATTCAGTATTTGTTACAAAAACAATCAAGGTCTTTGCCAATAATGATTTTCACAAAAAAAAAGTAACTATAAATAAGTTACTTTCAAGCTAAACCAATAGAAAATAAATTAGATTGTAGTATTCAGGAAAATGGATACATGGTTTCATTACATTAATTTACTAATTTATGTTACTATGGCATAATGAAGATAGGGTGAGATTTTGTCTTTTCAATAAATTATAACCCGTATCTTCTAAGGTCAGACATAATTTTTACCGGCGTTAAAAACTAAAATCAAGAGGAGAAAGCAAAGTTTCCTAAGACAATTTTCAGGTCAAGTAGGCCGTATGAGTTATAGACATTTCCGTATGTCATTGTGGAATTTTGCACTTTCCGTAATGTTGAAATACACAATCTATTGAATACTGGGTGCCATTTCACCACATTTGGTACTTTTAAGCCGTCTGCAAGATGTGCTTATTATATCTATAAATAAAATTATAAACGGTTTCAAATATAATTACTAATTATAGCTACTGATATTTCAGTTTCGTGTTTCTTTCTATATATTATTTTGTGAAAAGATAAATCCTGTTTACCTCCGATTGTACATTCTCCGTTGGTATTTTCCAAATTCATCACATTGAAATTAGTGTTATCAATGTTGATAACGAAACAATCGCTATCAAGAAAGCCGTAAAAATATTCAAATAGTCATTGTGATAATTGTTCATAGACTAAGGAAGAAGAAAGTGCAGTTAACAAAGAAATATCAAATAAATATATAAATTAAGATTTGTAGGGTACTTGATTATGGAATTGCTAACTTGCCTTTCTAAAAGAATATTATACTTCTCCTAACATATGTCAAGATAATCCCAACATTAGGTGCTTATGAATAAGATCCTGAACAAAGGAAATAAACTTGGAATTTCCAGACATATCGGTATATATTTAGCAATACGAGGGAATAGGAGTATTTGATATCTAGACAAATTTCTGCAAAGCATTGCAGTGATCCATAAGAATTTTCAACTTAAATCTCTATAAAATGTTTAATCTTCGTCGTTTAGTGTTGGGATATAACTCCGAAAATAGTCAAAATGAAATTAGTTTAAAAACTTGTTTTCCTTGTTTGTTGTTTTCCAAATTTTCTGAACTATGTTGTGTTTTTTTATGAAACGACATTCTTCATAGTAACAATGTCAATAGACAAAAATACAGAAGAAAACCGATATCGTTACCCGTAGTCACTCTGGAGATATAAAAAAATAATTGGTGGAGGTAATCTGAACATGCAGGAGGAATATGCCTAAATTTGGGGTATAGTAGAATAGAGTCCTGTAGTAGTAACATCCCGTAGTAGTAGCATACCAATACCTGACTAACAAGATGGTTCTTTTTCCTAGGACATGAGTGTTAGACAATGTCGAATAACAATTTTTTGGAAAAATGGGTGAAGAAGGGGGATTTATGAAAACTTCTATTCTAAGGACCTCAGAAGCAAAAGAATTGCACTAAAATTCTTCGGAATGTTCTACTACGTTTTTTGTGGAATAGGAACATCTCCAGCCTTGATAGTTTTTGATAGCTTTTTACATTGGTCGAAGTGAATTTTTTGTGGTGTCCATATTCTCAAATCATTGAGTCCACTTTCGTTTCGTTTTCTGTCAAACTGTACTTTAAACCTTGTTAATCGAATAACAGGTACCAAAATGATGAATGGCAAAGATGTTCTTTGCAGGTACCAAAATGATAAATAGCAAAGAACATCTCTGCAGGTACCAAAATTATAAATAGCAAAGATGTTCTTTGCAGGTACCAAAATGATAAATAGCAAAGGACATCTTTGCAGGTACCAAAATGATAATTTACAAAGATATCTTTAACTATCTACCGTTTTGGTACCTGCAAAGATGTCCAAAATGATAGATAGTTGGAAGATATCTTTGTAAATTATCATTTTGGTACCTGCAAAGATGTCCTTTGCTATTTATCATTTTGGTACCTGCAAAGATGTTCTTTGCTATTTATCATGTTTTATCATTACTTGAATTCCAAACTTTTCCAAAAGAAATAGATCACAGTCATTATTGAACTATGCTTCTCTACTGAATAATGATCTCGTTAAGAACTACTTCCATTATTTTTTATTCGCTTGTTGAAAGTTATTCCTGTTTGACCAATATAGTTTATATACTCCCAGATCTAGCCGACACTGAAGTTTGTTCTTCATTATTAAAATAAATTTTCTTGAAACTATTCGTTCTGTAAGCTATGTCCAAGTCAATATCTATCAAATATCTACCTCGTCCCTATTGTTGACAACGAATTGATCAGAAAATTGCTACCTGCATGTAAAATATACAGTGATTTGTGAAGCATACTATTTGATGTGTCTTCTTTATAATAATAATAAAGGATCTTTATTCACTTGGAGGTGTATTTAACATGGCTATTCTTTCACTCTACCAAGGAAAAACAGTTGACAAGAGTATTGACAATATTCGTACTATATAATTATTAAAAGACAACGATGTATACAGGGGATAGCATTTCAGATTTTCATTTTCGAAAAAAACATTTTTTGATTTTTATTTGATGGAAGAAGTCATCAGAGTTGCTACATGGTAAGAAAATGAGCGTCCATGAAATTTAAAATGATATGAAATTCAAATGGTACTTTGAAAATGTTTGTCACATGTTCATGGAAAGACAAAGAGCTAGGTTACGCCAAGATTTTTAGCACTGTCTACCCAGTCAATGTCTGCGTTATCGAGAGTGAGCCCAAAAGTTACACTGAGTTTCTACTATTTGTCTTTGAGACCCTATGCATAAGGCCAAAGTTTTATTTGGATTGATTTTCAGTCCATGATTCTCCGAGTATAGGAATGCTTTGTGCAAATCTGTGTTTTTATTGGCCACGCAACTTTTTGTATCGGTGTTATGAGAAGACAAATATAACTGTATATCATCTGCGTATAGATGTACTTGACAATGTGATAAGAAAGTGGGGTAATCAAAAATACACACTGAAAACATCAAGGGTCCTAAAATACTTCCCTGCGGTACACCTGATACTGTTTCTTTTAGGGATGACCATGAGTAATCATCCAGTTTGACCCTCTGTGAGATAGCTGGTCATCCATTTAAAGAACTGTCATCGAATCCAATGGACTTGAGCTTGCTGATGAGTAAATCGAAATTAACTAAATCGAAAGCTTTACTTTGATCAAGCAGTACTGAAATGGTGACTTTTGATTGATCTCTGAATCTCGCAAGATCGTCGATTACTTTCAAGAGGGCAGGCAGTGTGTGTTCCGTGTTTTTTGCGAAACCCAGACTGCTCGTACGGGAGTATTCGATTTTCTTCAAGAAAAGCTCTTATTTGACGAGAAACATTTTTCTCGAATATTTTAGAGAATGAGGGCAGAATGCTGATAGGGCGTAGGTCACTGAACGTGGTAGATGCATTCTTTTTCGGAATTGGAATTATATTAGCAACCTTCCAAACAAAGTAATATTAATCGTGAGTTTCATTATCTATATAGGGGTCTATGAACAAAGTTTGACGAGGGTGTGGTACGGGTTTCGCAACTGGACCTAAATATAAGTTTGATACATAATTTTTTATATTCGGGTTGTTGATCTAGGCATGGTTCAAAACGCATTGGAAATATCGAAAAGCTGGTACTGGTCATCAGAAGAGGTCCGGTCCTGCTCCACGACAACGCCCGTCTGCACTTTTCATAAATCCCCTTCCGAAAATTAAACTAACTGAACGTCGAAGCTCTGCCTCACCCACAATACTCCCCAGACCTCTTGCCAATCGACTACCACCTTTTCAAGCGCTTCGATAACTTTCTCACCGGTTCTTTGACTTCATCAAATCCTGAGCACACAATTTCTATGCTGTCGGAATCAATCGACTCGTGTTACGTTGACAAAACTGCACTAATTCAATTGCCGCTCATTTTAATTAAATTAAGTAAGTATTTGCTGAGATTTTACAGTTTTGAGTAGACTGATAAAAACGGGTAAAACTTTTGAAACAACCAATATTGGATTGTTATAGATTTCATTCTCCTGGTTAATCAAGAAGGTTTCAGCTTCCAAAATGTTTAACAGTATTCGCTACTAGAATAAAACCTGTTCAACCAGCTCATTTGTTTCAATTGGCGAAATACTCGGAAATAAATTTTTGGACATGGAATGCAATTAATAATTTAGCGTAATCAGGAGGAGTTTCAAGGGCGTCGACGGTTTATGACTAAGGGGGGGCAATGGGGCAATATGGAGGATAAGAAATGTGAACGCCTGGTACAGTCGAAAGCATGAAGGGTTACATTTTGGAAGTCTTTGCCTCGATGGCGATTGTAATAAAAACGGTTCTGATATCAATGTGTAAAATTTCACAAGCCCTCGACGGCACAATAACTAAATCAAATGTTTAAACACAGTAGTAAATATTTATTTTAATAAAATTAATATTTAATTAAAACATAACCTGCAAAACTTTCAACCACTTTATCATTAAAATTATTTAGGTTTTTATTTATTATAGCTCTTTGTACGCTCATCATGGCCAGACCATTAAGGCGATCTTCTGCCATGTTACTTCTTAGCCATGTTTTCAGTTTTCTGGGGCTGCTAAAGGATCGCTCTACTGTACAGGTCGTGCATGGTAAAGCGATCAAAATTTTCATTGCTTTTTCCGTTTCGGGAAAGAAGGAATTTGTTTCTTTTAGGACATCAACAACTGTAAGATTTGTTAGATTAAGCCTATCGTGCCATAATTGCTGCCAAAGGTCGATTTCATTCTTTATGTTCGGTAAGTCATAAAACTGGGCAATAGATTCACAAGTTTCTTTCTGATTTTCAGTTGTCATCTTTTGCATCTCCGCCGGGTGTAACTTAGATAATGCCAATAATGGCGTGTTTTCTTCAGCAAAACGTACTTCAAGGGAGGTGATAATTGAATCCAAGTATGGTATTACTAAAGACCTCTTCCAGTATTCTGAAGGGCTTTTTGCCAGATGATTGCTTCTATGATGTTGTTTTTCCCGTAATACGCGGCATTGATGTAATGTCCTTCTCCAGTCCGACTTTCTCCGCAACAGCAGTAGCTTCCTTTATAATACCGTCTGTCACTTTTTCCGGATTTTCACGGTGGTTTTTAATAAAAAATAAAATCATTTTAACGTGTTCCGAGGCTTTGATCACGTCCAAAGCTACAGTTTGGAGTACGTTGACAACGGGTTCCATCAAAGCCGAGTATTTGGCTACCAACACAATCCCGAGAATAAAAGAAATTCTGGAAGTAGCCGCATGCAGCTGGAAGGCACTTTTCCGAGTTGCACTATTTCCTTCCTGAGATAATGTTTGTGAGGCTTTCAGAATGATTGGAAGATTTTCTTTAAAAACTCTAATGGTTTTGTATTTCACACTCTATCTTGTCTCGCAAAGTCTGGAAATATAAGGTATCAACTTCCTCCTTGAAACTGATTCCCGAAAAAAGTTTACAATATCTTTGGTTAATGACGATGAGATTGGAACCTTTTGTGTGAAAGTTGAATAACTTTTTTCGAGATCAATTGCCCTAACACCAAACTGATATTTTTGCACTCGACGCGCGTTTCGCCAACAAAGTTAGCATCCTCAGGAGAAGAGAATTGATACCTAGTCTAGTCTGGTTAGTCTTTATATACTAAAATTTGTTACCTGAGGTTGTATACCTGAAGTCCAATATGGAATTTCTCGGCGTGAAGGAACGGCTATGGGTAACCCATTGTTTCCATTTATAGCGAACCTATTCATGGGTAGGCTTGAGACGGAAGCTGGGAAAGAAGTCAGTTACTTCCCTAGGGTCTGGATCAGGTATGTTGATGACATATTCGCTGTAGTGGATACAAGGATAACCAGAATCGAGAATGTCCTTTTAGCACTAAACAACGGGTGTAAGAGTATAAAATTCACATATGAAGTAGAAAAAGAACGAAAGTTGCCGTTTTTAGATGTATTGGTCATAAACAACGAACAGAACGAAATAGAATTTGACATTTACAGGAAAGACACGGGCACTTTCAGATACATTCCCAATGACTCGAATCATTCTCCACAACACAAAATGGCGGCACTGCAATTTCTGGTACACAGGTTGATAACTTTTCCTTTAAAGAAAGAAAAGAGAGTGATTCGGTATGTACCTGAAGCAAACGGTTTTAACCCAGATATAGTTGACAAGATAATTAGAAAATGCAAGTTTAGGGAAGCACTTCGTAAATCTTCGACTTTTCAAAAAGAGGAGAGTAATAACAAGTTTATAGTAATTCCATATGACCCCCAATACACGAGAGGGCTTCAACAGATATTCGATAAAATAAATATGAAAGTTGCATATAAAACTTCTTATAAATTGCAACAGCCTCTTGGTAATTCAAAAGATAGACTAGAAAACACAGAAAGGTCGGGGATTTACGAAATCAGTTGTCAAGATTGCAACAGCAAATACATCGGCCAGAGCCGACGAGCGATTAAAACCCGCTTCAAGGAGCATTGTGCACACATGAAATACGGAAGGATAGAAAAATACAGTGTCGCCCAACATGCTCTAGGCAAGGACCACAGAATTAGTGAAAACAATCTGAAACTGATTAAGCATGTGCTTGACACCAGGCTACTCGATGCATGTGAGTCTAGAAATAGCAAAATGTAAGAACAGCATGAATGGCGATAAGGGACCCATCCCGTTTAGCCCGCTTTTTAATCTTCTGTTAGGAAGAGAATAATCACTAAGAATTTCCAGGTAGTTAATTACCGAGAAATTCCATATTGGACTTCAGGTATACAACCTCAGGTAACAAATTTTAGTATATAAGGATTAACTAGACTAGACTAGGTATCAATTTTCTTCTCCTGAGGATGCTAACTTTGTTGGCGAAACGCGCGTCGAGTGCAAAAATATCAGTTTGGTGTTACGGCAATTGATCTCGAAAAAAGTTATTCAACTTTCACACCAAAGGTTCCAATCTCATCGTTATTAACCAAAGATATTGTATAGTCATGATGATAATGGCGTCGATTTTAAAAACGAATATCAAAATCTTAATGTTATTCTGAATATTTCAATACATCCTACAATTAAACCTTGTAAATTTATTTACGTTTTGTTACGCGATGCGGAATTTATTAATAGGTAAGGAAGTCAAGTTCTCGCACTTTGGTCGCTTTGCGGCTAACTACATTTGATCTCTAGGGGGGGCAACTGCTCCCCGATCGCGACGCCCTTGTGGAGTTATGTTTCAGAAAGGTTAAAACTCGCATATTTCAATCATTGAGAATGTTGGGGTCATGCCGATTTTACCTGCTTGTGTTTGGGACTATCACACTGTAGCGCTGTTGATTTTGTTTTGTTGAAAAAACTTCCGTTAAAAAAATCAAACGGTAGAACAGTCCCATTTTATTTTAGCGATCTGAATGCCAGGACTTTTGACTGTTCAGTTTAAAATAGTTATTGTAGTTGAGTTAAATGGATGGTAGTCATAAAATTAGAATATAGTGTGAGCCGGTTTCATTTGCTAATAACACGGACGAAAATAAAGGACTGTCGAGCTGCAATAACAAGATTCGTTTTTCGTGAGAAGGAATTTACTCTCCGGTTTTTTAAATTGGCACATCCGCATTGTTTACTGTAAATTCAGGTACTCAATCAAGTCAAGTACCTCTATTTCTATTAGTTCCTACAGGGATAGTATATAATGGCGAATGTAATGAATCATTGTTAGTTTATTGTATAAGTTGTATACAACGGTTCTCGTCTGTTAACTTTACATATTAATCGTTAAACTATAAAATATTTTATTTTAATGGCACAAGGTGGGAATCAAACTCAAGATTGCAACCATTGCTGCTCAACTTTGAATTCGAAATTTTTATTTTAATCTCGAAACTTCAGTTTCAATCTCGAAATTTAGACTTCGAACTAGAAATTTGGGCTTCAATCTCGAAATTTATGCTTTTAACTTTGAAATTACGATTGCAACCTTGATATTACGACTTTGAATCATAAGTTACGACTTTAATTTCGAAGCAAAAGTATTTAGAGAATGAAAATAATAAAAGAAAAGTGAGGAAGTTCGGAAATATAGGAGGATAAAGGCAATAAAACATACTGTATGCCAAAACATAGCTTCCTTGATATAAATTTAGACGTGTTTTTTAGGCCACTGTTTTTGGCCCAAAAAAAAGCCAAAAGTGGCTTTATTCATCAACGTCATCTTTATCAAGAGCCACACAGCCAGCGCCGCTGTAACATTTCAATACCACTTTTGTAGGCCTCAGTTTCAGTAACCCCTTCATTTCAGCGAAATTTCTTACTGTGAGCGGTTTTTTGAGGTCTGAAAACAGCCAGTAGTCGCTGGGAGACAAATATGGCGAATATTGTGGATGTGGCAGCAATTCAAAGTTCAATTCATGTAGTTTTGCCATTGTTTTGATAGAAAACATTGTTATTTTGCCATATGCGGTCGTTTCTTTGCAATTTTGACCTTCAAACGCTCCAATAACGCTATATAATATTCACTGTTGATGGTATTTCCCTTCTCAATGAATATTACACCACGCACATCCTAAAATATCGCGACCTTTTCAGCCGATTGATGTGCTTTCGAGCGCTTTAGACGAGGTTCATCATTCAAAACGGTTTTGTGAATTTTTTTATGTTTTCTTGTGTTTACTGCCCCATTTGGACGTCCACTGCATTCTGCATCATCGGCAGCGGCGGCTCGTCAGAGAACGCAAGAGAGGCTTAGCCTCCCCATAAAATTTGAGGCTATTCATCGCAATAAATTAAAATATATTGATAAACAATTATGATTATTTTTTTCTAAAAATGCTTGGGTATCATTACTTTACCATTAATTTTTAATATAAATACATAATATGTCCGAAAAAACACTATCACTCACTACGTAGTACGTACCACACTGTATCCTGCATCAACAAAACTCAAACGCACCGCCCATGAACGAATAACGAATAAACCATAAACCCGAAATAATAAATGCCATACGCTGCAAGGGAGCCAATCCTCCGACCGTTTTAAAAAACACAAGCTATGCGAGACCGATCCAGTCATAGACATACGTCTCGATTTGCAATTTTAGTTGCAGAAATTGTAGCGTTAGAGGAGGCTAGCCTCCAGTTGGTCTCCATTAGTGTATTACTGCGTTTGTTTTTTATTTAATTATTGAGACGGAATGCCGTGGCGGACCAGGACTGAAAAATATTTCGGTAAATCGTTTTAGTGTTTCTTGATATTTGTTATTTATGTATAAAACAGGCAGTATTGTATTATACCAGTACTTTTTGGTAATATTTTCAATTTGTTTTTAAAGTGTTTTTTTTTCATTTATTATGGAGTTGGACGAAATTAAAAAATCTGACGGTATCTCTACGACCCTGTTTGAAGTCAGCAAACCAACGTTTAATTGTTGTTTCTGATGAAGTGGAGTCCTTAAACACTCTTCAAGCCATTGCTTTGCTTGAACGGTATTTTTTTCCATCAAAAAGCAGTGTTAAATTTAAACACGAAATTGTTATTGATCCAAAGTTTTGCAAATAACAAAAGTAGTGTCACTCTTAGCACAATAACTCATGTCAAAGGATCTAAATACTAAGGCTTACGAAGTAAAAAACTAAGATTTTAGCCCCACTCTGATACTAATTGCTTTACTTTTCTCTTTTTGCATTTTCAGGTTGAGTAGCTGTTATATAAAAGCAATAGAACAATAGAAAATTGGTTGAAAACAATATGGGAAGAGTTTGAAAGTCGTAAAAAAAAACAATTTGGAAAGCTATAACATCAAAGTTTATTCATCCGACCGACGTAGTTATGTTGAATGTGATGGTATAAAATCCTCCTGCTTTGTAGCGAGTTAGGATGTCCCACAAGGGTCTATGCTTGGACCGTTATCATTCATACTATTTATAAATAACATTTCCCATGATATCACTTCTCATAAATTGCTATTTGCAGATGGCATGAAAATATATCGTGAAATCCAAGATGACGCAAACTGTTTCACTTTGCAGGAGGACATAAATTCTTTGACTAATTGGTGTATTCGTAATAAATTGTACCTAAACACAAGTAAATGTGAAATAATGACATTCACACGTAAAATATTACCGGTATCACTTGTTAGGTACTAGATGGTGAAAGTTTAACGCGAATCACGAAATCAAACGATTCCGTTTGATCAAAAACTCGCGTTTTCCAATCGTTTTCAGAATGTAATATCAACTTCAGTGAGAAATCTGGGTTTCTTGATACGCAGCTGCAAGGAATTTAAAACCTTTCATTCTTTGAAAACAGTTTACTTAACACTGATCAGGAGTAAATTAGAGTACTGCAGTGTCGTTTGGAATCCGTCCCACATGAAACATATATCTAGTTTTAGAAAATGTTCAAAAACATTTTTGGAATATGCATATTTCAAACAACATGGTGCTTATCCCGACAGGGGTTATGGCTATGTGTTTTACATATAAAATAATACATGGACAGAGAGATTGCTTGTCTCTATTGTCTCAAATGCTATTCAGTGTACCGCGTGTTTCATCTAAATTTTGTAACACATTTCATATTCCGGTTTCCAATACACTGCATCATTTTCATTCTCCCATAACTACTATATCTAGAAGTGTTAATAATGTTCCTAGAGTAGATATATTTTTTCTAACGTTCAAACAATTCAAAAAAGAGATTCTTCGTTTCATTCAAAATTAATCTTACTATATGTACAATTAAATTTACTTTGATTTTACTATTCCAAGGATGAGTCGAGTATGAAATGGAAGTGAATTCATCCTTCAATACAAAAATTTTATGGACCTATAGAAGTAGTTGAAAATGAAATACTACGAAACTTTTATTGTTACAGGATATTTGGGGGCCACTGAATTTACTATTAACATCCCCACACGATTTGAATTTTTCCATACTTCTCATTACTTTGGAGGTCTGTTGTTAAATATTTCAGTTGCTTCACGATGAGTTTATAATTATATATATTATAAACGTCCGTTTTTGCAAAAATAAAATTTGTAGGAAACAGTGTAGATCTACTAGATAAGAAGCGTAATTGAAAATACTGGGAGATTGGCGTTCCACGGTTATTGTAAAAAGTGAGACGAATCAATTTCAAGGAAATGTAAGGTGCTCTGTCAAAATCCTTGGCAGCTCAAGACATCCACCAGGAATTGCAATAACTGTACGCTCAATATTCTTAGAAATGAGCTATTCATTTTGTTGTTGATGATTTTGATGGATATTTATCAATAAAAAGTTACACAAGTATAAAGTTGTTTTCATATATCACTTCAGAGAACTATTATTGAATATCTTATAAAAAAAACAGCAGTTTCTCTTTACACGGTAAGTAACTGGAATAGTTTACCTACAAATCGTTATGCAAAATACACTGATTTATATTCAATTCAGAAAATAACACCTGAAGATGATTGAGAACTTGTTTGGCGTCACGTGAAAAATATGTCAAGGATTTCTTGCTTGTTTTGGTGCACAGGAGAAGAAGTAGAATATAAAATCGCATTCTATTGTATGGAATGTACGCGAGTTTACATTTTCGTGAAAGAAAAGTTATTTGTGATACTACAAAAAGGGCAATAAATATTCGGCAAGGTATATCCCATGTCAATTTCAATATTGGTAGATGGTTTTGTTCAATTCGTTTATATTTGCAGCAATGGCATTCCGAAAACGACGTTTGAAAGGAGTCTTATTCAAAAATCTTCGTTATTATTCAGAGTATTTTATGAATTCGATATTTGTCGTTCCAAAAACATATTCTGGCTATTAGGAGAAATTTTTATTTATTCGGGTAGTTTATCAGTCAACACCAGGGCCGAATTTAGGGGAGGGCAAGCTGGACTACTGCCAAGGGGCCTCCATAGGAGAAGGGCCCGCACACAATAAGGATAACGAAAATATCCAAATTTTGGCGGGTCAGCAACTTTTATGCTCTCCCTCCCAAACATCTTTTTTTAATTTTCACTAAGAATACTTGCACAAACAATAATATTGTTTGTTTGCAATATCACGCACAAGAAACATTTTATAGGAAATGTTGCTTCTGGGATGCCTACATTTGTTTACCCAATCTGTTATAGGTATACATGTGATCAATGATGGCGAATAAACATTATTATTAGTTGAAAAATGAATGAGGTGAGTAAAAAAATCCGGGGCCTCCACTTCTTCGTTGCCCCATGAGCCTCCAGACTTCCAAATCCGACCCTGGTCACCCTACTGTAATAGGATTTTGTGAAAATCATCAGACCCTTTGATCAACAACTCAGCTATTTAATTTGTTTTTGATGAATGGTAATTACTTTGTTATTGCTTGTGATTGATTGGCTGATTGTAAAAATCCAGAAAGGATGTTAGAGGCTTTAAATAACCAATATTTTACTAATATACGATGATATACAGCGGGTATACTCATTTTAATATTTCACACTGAGTCAACATTTATTGATTTTGTATGAATATGAACAAGCACTGATTTATATTCATATGAACAAATGGTCGCAAGACATTTTTCCACGAGCCCGCGAGTGAAAGAAAGTTCTGAATGTTATCGACGAAGATGTTGCTCAAGCATCTATATATAGAAAGACCTTGTCAGCAGAGTAATTGATCAACTATTAAATTTCTGGGTTTTTCACAGGACTGAAAACCTAGGGTTTTTCCTGTATTACGTAAGTATTCAATATAAAAAAGTTTGTTATAACAACACGGAATATAAATCTGAATTGGGGATGGCCAATTTTTTTATGAATATTTTACACAAAATAGGTATAGGTACCCAGATATTGAAAATCCAAGACATTCGATACATTTCAACCAGCACAAATTGTTTCCAAAATGTTTTTGTAGCTATTTTTTCATGCCCCAAAAACCGTTTTTCAACGGTTATTTTGTAAATGTTCACTATGGATTTCGAAATTTGCGAGAACATTCAAAAATTAACACTGTTCTATACCTATATATAAAGAAAATGATGGATTGTCAAATTTCAAATATTCAGGAAGCATAATATTGTTGAAATGATCCATGACAGTACCTCTATTTTCGGTAGTTTTTGTCTTAGGGTAACACACAAATTACTTCTTAAAGACCGAAAAATTATTTACCTTAATTAAACTTTTTACCTAGGTCGGCTTTGAATATGCATAAGGTATATAGAATAAGGTTTGTCGTGAATTTACTATCATACTACAGTATCTCACTAATTTATGTTTTGGCGAAAACGAATTGATGCCTTGTCTTCATCTTCCTAATATTTCGGTTTTGTATTCACTTTCACACGTTTTCGAATTATAAAGCGTTACAATAACAAATATTCCAGCTCATTACTCTGTTCAGAGTTATTTTGAACCTAGAAATTTCTTGAGGAAAAATATTTCAGGAATATCTACAATTCTTACAGATTATTCGGACATCCGATAACTAAGAAATATGTTTTTAATCATTGTATGGCGTTTATTCCAATTCACCATGTAAATACCTAACCTACCTACCTACCAATATATCTATTAGGTATTTGTTCTCCTAGTTTCGGAAATATGAGTCAAAATCACTATCACATGCTTACTGCACCAATTATAGTAAATTGACCTTCAATGCGTTTTAGTATACGTCATTTTTACAGTAACTACAAGGTCTCATGTCATACATTTCGAATCATTACGCATCTCTCATTTGAAATGAAACAATAACAACTTTCCTTTGGATTATTTTATTACCATAAGAGTTTTACAAATGAAACATCAACGTCAATATAACAAAAAATAAATGTCAGCCACACTGACTGTATTGGGCACAGCAAGAAAATATCACAAATGCTAGCGATGACAGCAGAATACAAAACTAGAGGTACACGTTCAATCACGAAAACAAATCTAACCGTTCGCCCAGCACCACACATCGATTAAACTGAAATGAAATACGAATTTACGGATAATAATAACCAAACAGTGGGGGTCGAAGTCAAAGATGACGCAGCGAGGTAGATAAGATGTATATAAGTCTTGCGCACAATCTAGGGCGTTGTCTTTGACGTGTCTAGTATTACGGTAACGTGAACAATAAGCTCACTTATGGTAACGTTTGTGATATAGAAAAAAAAAGTTAGTTGGTGATTAACGCAGTGATAGTAGGTTTGTTCTGGTTCTACGGAATTGGGGTTCTAGGACATCAGGATTATGCGCAGTTGATGTAGAGCGTTCTGGTTTATTGGGGATAAGTTCGGATTGATGAATCCTCTGTTCTGGTTCCGACTGCGAATTGATCCTAAACTGTCTTCAACCGTCTTGAATCGTTCTTGCTCTCGAGGCTTAATTGTTGAGAACTGTTCCCGTTGCTCATGCGCATTCATGTGGAAATTTGGGCTATTTTCTAAGATGTTTTTTCAATTATTTGACTTAAATAATTGAGGTTAGATAAAATTTCAATTGGCTACAAGGATACGCTACATGACAAAATGGACATGATCAACAGTATTTTCTCGTCTTCATCTCTTCATATAAACGATAGGTGGCACAGTGGTCTCCTCAAAATGCGTTCTGGTGTTCGATACTATTTTGGGCTCTTTGAAATTTTTTCTTTGTACGGATCATGTCTTGCGCAGTTTCCAAACATTATCGGATGTTAGAACCAGAACAAACCTAGTGTGTCTGGCTCTCAACCTTCGACTGACCAATCGTCTTCAATTCATTCAGGTTGGAGCCCAGCTTCCTTACCCTTTTAGCTGATTTTTGTCAAAGGACAAATGGGTTCATATTGGCGGCATGAAGTCCTCAGACATCAGTAACGCCCTTCACAGTCAATCCTTGACTAAGAGAGGTTGCTGAGGATGTCGGCATATTGGTTGGCTCATGTCATGTGATCCAGATTGTTTGAAAGAGTCATGTCTGGTACAAACCAAAGTACAATCGTCCCATTAGAAGAGCCAAGACAAAAAAGCACGTCAAGTTCGATCAAATATCAAAGCTTGCTCACTGTTACCGTGTTACTCGATTACCATGGCACAGTGCATCAAAACTTCTTACCACAGGGTGGTTATGGTCAATAAAGAGTATTATCTTGAAGTTATGCGCCGCTTGCGAGAAGCAATACGAAGAAAACGTCCGGTATTGAGGAAAACCAATTCACTGTTTTTCCATCACGATAATGCACGTGCTTTCTGGTCATTGCCTCTTCGTGATTTTTTGGGTCAGAAACATCGTCATGCCCAAGCTACCGTATTCACCAGATTTGCCCTCCTGTGACTTTTTCCTGATTCCAAGATTGAAGAGACCCATGAAAGAGTGGCGTGCACTTTGTTTCAGCTTTCTAAATACCGTTGTTCTCCCATAATTATAAAAAATCGGATTTTCTAGGACCGTGACATCACGGGCCTAGTCCCGCTCATTGTTCAATTGACCAATAGGAACAATACAAATAATCAACATTGCCAAATCGTTAAATTTACGGAGTGTATAAACAGTTTAGGATTCATTTGTGATTCAAAATAAAATCACAGTCACTTTCGACAACTAAATCTTAGAAACAAGTGCAAGAACTGCATTGGAAGAGAAAATTAATTATACATGGGATCCAAATAACACAAAACGCAATAAAAATGTTATTTAAAAATTAATGAAAAAATTCTCCGCATGAATTGAATTGAATTCCACTTTAATTAGGAAATTGTAACAAACAAATCGGATTATAACAGCTAAATTCACAACGAGTTGACAACAATAAGAACAAAAATGGCGTGTGTCAAACTGGATCACTATAATTTTAGTTCTGTGATTGGATATTAAAAACCAAAACACTCGGCAACACCGCTGTAGATACGATGAATGTTATTGGTTAACAGACACGCGGCCAATTTGAACTCTTGCTTCTCGAATTATTTGTTTTTCTGCAAATAGAAAGAGATCTTGGGACCGATTAGGTTTGATAAGTATAATATAATCCTAAATCGATCAGTCTATAAGCAAACCAGCATGAAACAAGCCCATTCCACTTTCTGTTTGGTGAGTGTTAAAATGGACACCGATATGTCTTGGCAAAATCACTTCGCTGGAATTGCTAAGGCTGCTTATCAAAAGCTTGGAACACTGTTCCGAACCAGAAAACTGTATACACCTCAGCAATTTTTGATGCTTCATAAAGCTGAGATCAGACCTTCGTTGGAGTATTGTTCTTATGTATAGAGCTCCGCTCCGAAGCATACCCTGAAGCTGCTTGATTCCATCCAGAAATGAGCTATCCGCCTGATTGGAGAAGAGAACATCACTTGCAACCCAACCAACCATGTTAGTCTAGTTAGAACATCGAAGAAAGGTTGAAGATTTGTCTCTCTTTTATTGATGGAATCAAACTTGCCAAGTGACTTGATTCCACCAAGAAATACACGACCGACTGTGGCTGCTCATCGTTTTGGGGTTCAACTTAGTACACTTCGAACTTCACTGTTCAAGAACTCTTTCATTTGGAGAAATGTGTTTACGTGGAATATACTTTGCACTTCTGGTGTTTGGGAACAGTACTTTTTTTGGATTTATTCTACGCCTTTTATTCTACCTTGTATCCCTGGTTCTAGAGTTTCCCATACTGGCCTTTCTTACATTGGACACATTGTATATTTTCAGATAATTGAAAAAAACCGATTGAAAACAAGATTGAAGAGGTGTGAGAATAGTAAAAAAAAAGGTACTTTATCTGGACAAAGTTTACCAGAATCACCACATTTCTAGAACATTGAATTATGGAGGATTAGATGGAGATTATTCTTCTTTTCTTTTATTACCACTTCAAAATGAATCCTGTAACTAGAAGGGTTAAGCTTTTTCGTTTAACCAATTTTCATTATTCAATGATTCAGTGTAACATGCTTAGGAAGAAAACACCCTGTATTATAGTCTTTTTTGAAAAGCAGAGATTTGAAGGTTCATGCATCGACCAAAAATAAATTCTCTGCTTTCAAAAAATGAATATCTTTTTGTGGTATCAATTTTTATTTCTCAAGAACTTTCATCAAATTATATCATATTACTTTTTTTAACATGATTTCCAACAGTTTGCCTAAGATCATTATTCTCAACAAAAAAATACACCCAGGACCGATCTTTAGAGAAGAAACAATACAGTCCTGTTTGTCAGCGAGGACAAAGAAAGGATATGTAAGGAAGGCTAGTTTATGGAAAAGGTTGAATAAAATTAATCGTAATGTACCTTTTTTCTGCTCATTTAATTGATCTTTGAAACAAAAATGTATGTCAATTGTAATATGACACGTTCTTATTTACAAAATCATTTCATACATACTTTTTACAACAGAGAAATGTGTTTATCGGCATGTTTCAATGTTGAAGCGCCGTCGAAAAGTTCAGTTGAAGTCAAACGAACAACGTTCACAACGAAACGAATGAATTCAACCAGATATTGTTCAACAGCAACAATTATGATATGACCGAGAGCTTAGAGATTTTTTGATACAAAAAAAAGAAAGGAATATTCAATAAATTTCGATTTGCAATCAAACTGCACTTCCGCAACAGATAATATTTCCAAAATTCTATATGAACACGTCATTTGGGCCCATACTGTACAATTAATTGCCATTTTGCGCTCAAACATATTTGTAGGTTATGGGCAGGTACAATATCGGCCCGAAACAATGGTTTATCAAGTGACTAGCTCTTTCCTTTGAATCTAAATGAAATTTCAACAAAAAATCGTTCAGTTCATTCATATGAGTGGTTTGCAAACCAGGAATGTTACTTGTTGGCGAAATATGGATATTCCCTTTGGAAACTGATAGTTCGAATGCCGTGAGATGATGTTTCGCTACAAATTATACTTTTCCTTTTCAGAATCGAAGTTTCTAGCGTTGATATTGAAAAATTGAAGGTCTTTCACAAGAAAAAATTACAAACTACAACTTCGCAATAGATAATTTCAATCATTCAAATCTCAATCATTTTAAATACGATAAATTTACTGGATTCACCTAAACAATGACTAAATAATACTTATAATGCAATTTTATATCAAGATCAACAATAAGTAGTTCAAATTAAAAATACCAAAATTGTCCCTATTCAAACTTTTAATGTATAATCTATGGAGAAAATATGAAAATAGAACAACTTCTGAGGTCCAAAATTGCAACAATAAAATTTTAACAATTACATTTCAATTCAATCAAATACACGGCAGAAGTAAAAACTAAAAACACCAAAAAATCAACTATTCAATTTGAAAAATTATTACAGTAAAAAACAATGTAAGTGCAACAACAATATTGTTTTAATCCAATCAAAAAATATTTTTATATTTGAGAGCAGATCTAATCTTTCATGAGCCATGGATACTAATAATGAAGAATCTGATGTTTTCGGAACACCCTAATGCAGATAAAGTAGAATAACAACCGAACCCGAAGCAAGATTTATCGACGTTTCGGTTTCAACTTGCAACCACCCTCAGGTGTCATTAGCAGACCCCACGAAAACGACACGAAACTCACATCACCTCACAGCTCAACCTTTCTGTTCCCAAGGGAATTCCAACATTTAATAAAGATAAAAATCAGTTCCTTTGTTTACAATTAGTAATGATACACTTTTTTTAGATTGTACCTTATCATATTATCAATCGATATTTTTCCCCAAATGGCTTCCATTACACAAAGTTGAACACCAAAAGGAAACAAAAATTGTTCAGGACACCAAACGGAAAAACTAAAAATCGCAATTCTAACAACTGAAATATTCAAATTCGATAAAATACCCTAGGACGCCAGACGTTTTTTAATCACAAGCACAACTTTTTCAAACTACCTGCGATGTAATGGATCCATTTTACGAGGGGTGCCCGAAAACTAAGTGTATGGCCTTGGAAATGTTTCGTGCGCCCCCGGTAGGTCGAAAAACTCTTGCAATAAGCTCGGCGATTCTATTTCTATCACAATGTCTATGTAACTTTTGCTTTTTAAATATATACAAAACGTTACAATTTTCTTTTCAAGTCCGATCTCATTGAATTGAGTTTTTCGACCGATTTTTTTTCTGAGAAAAATTGACAAGTCATCTAAGATGAATAAATAGTTTTGAGACATCAAACTTTTTTTTCACTAAAAATACAATGAAGTCGTTGGATCAGACATAACCTGCAATGAAAAAAATCATAAATTATTTGTATTGCAACTGTGAGGGAGTTATAAGGATTTATCAGAATCAATTTTGAAGTAGATTATTGAGACACAAAGGTTATGGAGGGAATTTATCCCTCCTAAAAATATCCCCCTTTCAATTCAAGTTTATTACGTTCTAACATATGTTTATGGAAAATAACTTTGTGCTTGTGTAATACGAGGTCCAGCTATTAAATAACGAGACTGGTTATGAAAAAGGGTTTTATTATAAAAATTATTCTAGATTCGAATGCTTCCCTTCAATATACTCCCCTACCCACGCCACACACTTTTCCATACGTTTTTTCCATTGATCGAAGCAGTGCTGGAAGTCTTCTTTGATGAAGGCCGTTTTTTGCTTTACTGCTTCCATCGAGTCAAATTGAGCCCTTTTCATCTTTGGAAACAAAAAATAGTCGCACGGTGCCAAATCTGGCGGGTACGGCGCGTGTTCGAGCACTGGAGTGTGTTTATCGGCCAAATACCACTTCACAGATAGCGCGTTATGGGCAGATGCGTCCTGGTGTAGAATCCACGAGTTGTTCTTCCACAACTCGGGCCGTTTCTTACGAACTGTTCTCGCTGCGTTGCCAAAACTGACAAATAGTAAGTTTGTTTGACAGTCTGATCCTCTGGAACCCATTCAGTCATCACGATACCGTTAATGTCGAAAAAAACGATCAACATTGCCTTGAATTTTTATTTGGACATCCTTGCTCTCTCGGCCCTCAATGAAGTGCTTACACCATTCAAAAAGACGCGCACGAGATAGAGAATGGGGAATGTTTCTCCTGACGAAAATCAAGTAGTTTTCATAAAAGAGCTCTGAAACAACGCATTTTAAACTTATCATTTTAACCTTTTTCTTTAAAAAATCATTTAAATACTTAGAAAAGAGGGATGAAATAATGCACTCAACATTTAAAGGGATTTGTTTCTATTTCACCATTTGGCAACATCGATTATAGCTAATAAAGGACAATGAATCCATTACCTGTATGAGACACACAAAGATGATATATTTCAGAGGCGTGCTGTTCTGTTCACTCATGTCCCGAGTTCCGAGACATTCTGTGACATATGACATTTTATGCACCTAACCTATCTTCCTCTATATAAATAACATATTTATATAACATCTATATAGAAGATATAAAGCTTCAAATCCTTTTTGTGAAATTTAATATTAAAATACTGAAAATAAAGGAAAGTTAGTTGCATCATTGTTTATGTGGCTTGTGGAGGTGGTATTGAACTATAATTTATATTTTGCCTTGATTGTTGATTTATAAACATCATTTTCCCTTTTTAAAGTAGAATATCTAGGTACGTATTGGCGCTATTGCCAACATTTGAAACATCAATTTGAATACTTTTTGAAGTGAATTTGAAAAACTCATGAATTGAACTCAACTTTATTTTGTTCAAACTTGCATTTGCTGTAATAACCCAAATTGAGGAACATTCCCCATTGTCCCGATATGCCTCTTTCAACAATTTATAGCACTCAGTCGGAGTTTTTTTTCAATTTAACGAGAAATTTGATACTGATACGTTGCTCTTGTTTTTCGTCACACATGGTTCTCGGCACGAGAAAGAAACACGTTCGTTTCAGACCGCTACCGCACAAATACTTTAATAGTGACGAAAACGTGTTTTGGTACGTTAACAGAGAAGATTTCCAGATACCCAACGCACTCCTCGTTATTTTCCCCACCCCTCTAGTCGTGCAGGTTCGTTATTTAATAGCCGGACCTCGTATCATGAGAAATTAAGTGCGTATTTTGGAATTACATTATACATGTGAATTTATGACATCATTTCTATGCATTAGATTTCCACCAGTAGTAATAAAAAATCATACTTCCGATGATCTGAATGTTTCCTATAGAGCTCAAGGTTCAATTCTTGCCCGACTACTACTACATCACTCTACCGATTGTGATGAAACTTGACATGTATAGTATAAGTGATTTTTCCTAGAGAAGGTTTTAATGCTATCAATTTTTCTTTAACTCGCCACTAGATGGCGCTGTAGAACAATTTTTGAAAGCACTGTTCTATAACGCTGCCCACGCCTAAGTTCGTCGATTCTGATTCTGTCAAAACATTATAACAGCAGCGATACAACAACTAGTTATTTATATTTCAGTTTTCGGTCAAGTTCTCGATAAGTTCAAAAAACATACTACAATTTGTATTATTCCGTTAAGGTAAAAACATTTCTTTCTCAAGAACATATACTAAATAATGACACCAAAAGTCTAGTCAGTTGAAATTTCTAAAAATCAATGCCAAATTTTCTAATAATGATAATAAATGAAGAATAAATGATAGTTTCTATTTTTTTTAGTGAATTGAAACTATTAATTAGTCTGTGTGATTGATGACTTGTTCATTTTTTGGAAATTCATGCTAACTTTAATGAAATGAATAAAAACACTTTTGCCGGATAAAATCCCAAACTGGCCGGCCGTAAAAATAAAACAACTAGTGTAAATTAGACAAAAGTGTTTTCATTAATTTCAATAAAAAAAAAATCACACGTTAAAAGGTAAGACCTCGTTAGTCCCTAGCTCGCACAAGTTTCGACTTCTGAGGGTTGTCGTTCGTAGGGGTGCGACAGCTGGTTAACGAAAAAACATTTTAAACATATTTTTCAAGTATTAATTGGCCCGCTCCATGTTTCACACAGACCTTTTTCAAATCTACGTGAGAGTACTTTTGATTCGATTTATTACATTCATATGTGTATTTATCTCATACTCCTGATATTGTTTTCACTCCACCTCTATTCAATAAACCAGAAAGTTCAATTTCCCCCCTTTTTCAACATTTAGAGAGAAAATGCGAAGCCATTCAAACCAACCCCTCCCCAATAGACAATAAAATAGATCAATCGAATTCACCAACATCTTTATTGACTTTTTATGATTTTCTCCTTAAAACTAGACACAACGAACGAAAGAGGCGGCAGCTGGCGGCCGATGGCGGTACTTACCGAGAGAGAGCGATAGACTCCTCGACAGGCGAATCCGATTCCAGGTACGAGCTAGTTGTTCATGGGGGGCGGCTCTAGTTGTGAACCGCGGGAGGGGCGGCTACCGTCTGCCTCCGCTCGAGCTCCTCCAGGCTGAGCGCGTGCTGGGCGAGACCCGCAGTGCTGGGCAGCTCGCCGCCCCGAGCTCGCTCCAATAGATCGGGCGAGAACCAGCGCGCGAGCTGATTGGTCGTCGTCGGGGAAAGGTCGCCGTCGTTCAAGCCGGCTCGGCCGATGGGATTGTTGCCGCCGGTCCTGTTACCTGTGGAAAAAACGGCCGGAAGAATTGAGAAAATGCGGTCAGTCTTAATTTTGAAATTTCAGTTTATCTGTTAGAGAACAGAGTAAGAATCAATGGTACAATTTCAAATGAAATATTAAACGATAATGGAGTACCCCAGGGAAGTGTTTTGGGCCCCTTACTATTCATTATATATTTAAATGATATTAATATACATGTCGACTGTGAATTTATCAACCTGTTTGCAGATGATACTCTATTAGCTCGTAGTGATATAAGACTGGATGCTGCTGTACAGAAAATAAATGTGATATTGAAAAAAGTTGACAAATACATGAAAATTAATAAATTGAAATTGAATGTGAGTAAAACTACTGCCATGATTCTCACTTCAAAATACAGATATAAATCTATATAAACCAGATAAATATTTTAATGATGAAAATATAAAAGTGAATAATACTGTAAAATACTTAGGGTTTCAACTGGACTGCAATCTCACATTTGAAGAACAATTTCAATACATACATAAGAAAATTTCGAAAAAACTATATTTTTACTCTAGAATTTCAAAGCATCTGTCTTTAAACACAAAGATATTAGTCTATAAAACAATTATACAACCACATTTTGATTATTGTGCTTCGATTTTATACTCTTTCAATTTGAACAAAAAGGCACATTTACAAAATAGAGGAAGGAGAATTATATTGAGGTGAAACCGATATACTCCCATAATTACAATGTTAACAACCCTAAATTGGCTTTCGGTATCCCAAAGAATTTTATACCAAACAATGATATTCGTGCAGAAAATTATTAATGATTTAACTGGAACATATCTTAAAAAATCTATTTGTTTCAATTATGATATTCACAAATATTACATTAGACATAATCTTGACATACATATACATAGAACTAATACCAAAATCAGTATGAACTCAGTAATAATAATAATAATAATATTTTATTGGTTCTTCTGGATCATAACTCAATGATATAGAACAAGTCAGTGTATTATGATATAAATAAACTTATAAAAAAGAAAAAAATTATGTACATATAGGATATGAACAGTTATGTAAAATTATAATATATTAACAACCCTAGATGACAATCTCAATTCTTCAGTTATATTGATAAGTCATTTATAAACTCTTCAATGGAGTAGTAGGCTTTATCAATCAGAAAGTTTTTTAGGAACGGTTTAAATTTTCTTAGTGACATTTTTCTAACATGATTTGGCAATTTGTTAAATAGCCTGACACCCATGAAAATTGGACTTGATTCTGATCTAGCCAGTCTATGATTTGGTATTTCTAACAATGTTGAATTTCTTGTGCCGTAATTATTTTTGTTTAAGAAGGTAAAAGGTCGCTGATCCGATTTTACAAAAATTAACAGCTGGTACATATAAATGCATGGGAGAGTTAATATTCTTAAAACTTTGAATAGATCTCTGCAGCTAGTACGTCTATTTACACTCTGAATGTTTCTGACAGCTCTCTTCTGTTAAATAAATACCCTTTGTGCCTCACGTGATAGGCCCCAAGCTACTATACTATATGAGATTGTTGAGTGTAATTGGGCATGATAGTACATGAGTACCACCGACTTATCTATAATTTTACTGAGTTGATAGATACAGTAACACATAGGCGTTATTTTTTTACATATTTCATTAATATGTTGATTCCATTTACAATCTTCAGTGAGAGTAAGTCCTAGAAATTTTATTGAATTCACCTGTTTCATTAAACCGTGCTGTGATTTTAACAGTAAACTGTGATCATGACCATTTGGGGCATAACTAAATCTTAGGAAGGATGATTTTTTATCATTGCAGATTAATTTATTGCTAGAAAACCAGTCCTGGGCTTTTAAAATTTCCCTGTGAGCCAAGTCTACTGTGGATGTAACATTCTTACCACTAACCAGTAGTGTTGTGTCATCCGCATACATTACAAAATTTCCTTCAAAGTCATTGACATAAATTATATAAAGTAGAGGTCCCAAAATAGAGCCTTGTGGTACTCCAATAGTATACTTTAAACGTTTAGATTGATAATGATCTATATCAACGTATTGTGTTCGATTTTGGAGTTAACTTTCAAACCATCTACATGAGTTTCCCCTAAAACCATACTTTTCCAATTTGTCTAGTAGAATTCTGTGGTATATATGGTATATGTCAAAGGTGTTGATACATACAACAAATTGCCTCATTCAATTAAATCAGCTTCAACTTTAAAAAGTTTTAAAACTGATCTACTGCATCATTTTTATAACAAATGTAACTGAAGGTATTACTAATAAGATCATAAGTCATGATTTTTGGAACATTTAATCAATTATTTGTTAGTTATAATTTTGTTATTGTATATTAGGAATGTATCCTACTTACCAAATAAATGTTATTATTATTATTATTATCTTATGAATACGAATGACGAACTAAAAATAAATATTTTACAAAACAATGAATAAGAACACATGAAAAATCATTTATTTTTCGTTCGTTAATCATACCTTGGTTTTAATTTCAAGTTTCGGCTAACATTACTGTTCAAGCTAGACACTCAATGCGCACAATAGCTGTCACTAGCTACAGAGGTAAATCAACAGTGCAAACTTCAAAACAGTATTACGAGATCTCTTCAAAAAATAAGGTGAATTTTCATTATGTTCAAAAAATATCTACTCATCAATTTCTATTTTGTCTTCTTTAAAGTAGTCCCCTTCAGATATAAAGGGTGATTTTTAGGAGGTATAGGATTTGATTTTCAAAACAACACAAAAAAATTGATGAAATCTTTATTGGAAACAATAGAACGATCAATATAATTTAACGTTTGAAGATGATTTCATGCAAATGTCCGCAGCTCCACTTTAGATGGCTCATGCGCAAGGTCCAATTTTGGCACACTCTCTCTAACATATCGACCGGTATTTCACACAAGAAATAATCCAAAGCGTTAAATCACACGATCTCGGCGGTCAACTGACATGCCCCAAACGTGAGATAAACTGTTCACCAAAGACGGCTCTTAATTAGACCATTGTTTCGCGTGCCGTGTGGCATGTGGCACCGTCTTCAATTCTTCCATTTTGGGCAACAAAAAGGCATCAATCACCACACGGTAGCGCTCACTATTCACCAGTAACGTTCCGGCCATTGTCGTCTTTGAAGAAGTACGGCCCGATGATGCCACTGACCCATAATCCACACCAAACAGTGACTTTTTCGGTAAGCATCGGTAGCTCTTGCAATGCTTGTGGCTGGTCTTTACCCCAGGTGCGGCAATTTTGCATGTTAACGTATCCATTCAACAAAAAATGAGCCTCGTCGCTGAACACAATTTTTCGATAAAAATGTGGATCTTCCTTCAACTATGCCAGCCCCCATTCACCATTCACGTTGTGGGAGGTCGTGGGGCTTCAATTTTTGCACCAGCTGTATCTTATAAGGTTTTACTTTCAAATCCCTTCGCAGAATTTTCCACGTAGTGGAAGGAACGTAGTGGAAGGCGAATCGACATTTCACGGTCATCACGAACACTGGCGGATACAGCCGCAATATTTTCTTCGGTCCTCACTCTACGTATGCGTATTGGTGGTTTAATGTCCAATAACATAAACTGAGATCGAAATTCAGTCACAAGCTTCTGAAAAGCTCCCTCAGTAGGCCGACGAAAACTGCCTATAAATTGGAAGAAGTACACAATGCACTTTCTTCACCGAGCATGAATTTTGATAGTAAAATTCAATAATTTGCAAGCGTTGTACTGTAGTAAATTTAGAAGAAACTGTTGGCAGAATGAATAAAGTTCTAGAGAAAATAAAAATATATCTGAAAACCAATAAAATGAAACTTAACGTTAAAAAACAAAAGCAATGAGAATCACTACTAAATTCAAATAAATACAAACAACATAAATATAAAAATTGAAGATGAATGTATAGAAATACTAACATCAGTGAAGTATTTGGGATTTCAACTTGGTAATTGCTCATCATTTGACGACCACTTCGAGGAATGAGAATAATTTTAAAATGTAATAGGTATACACCAATTTCTACCATGCTATCTGCTCTACAATGGCTCTCAGTATCCAAAAGATGATTCTATTGTTCCATGGTTTTCATTTAAAAAATATTAAATAAAATGACCCCACCATACTTGCTATCATTAATAACTTTCAATAAGGATATTCATCACCATTCTACTAGGCACAACAGTCACATTCACATAAATAGAACAAATACAAGAAATAGTATGAGCAGTTTATTTTTTAAAGATTTTGTTCGATCAATGATTACTAAAACAAATGCCAAAGAGATAAGGGCCTACTTTTTCTCACAGCCGGATTAATTTCTAGGTATTGGGTAACTTAATTTATAGGTACTTGTATACATTTTAAAAATTGTGATAATTTATTTGATTTCTTTGTTGTTTCCTTTTATATTTACTGTTTTGTTTTATTTTAGTTAGTAGTTCTTAAGCTTATTTTGTTATTGTAGTTTTATCTCTCTTACTTTCAATTACAATTCAATATTGTGTTTGTAGGAGTAAAAAGTAAATAAATAAATATAACAAGCATTTCCTATTCAATGAACCGTTCCATCATTACGTTATTGCTGACTCATGAGTAATGATTTGTTGCTCCAAATCAACATATTTATACACTGATTAATAAATCCCTTAGAAGTGTACAACCTTTGAAAGAAAAATAATTTCCCAAAAGTAAAACCACCTCACCTTGGCCGTTACTGAAAAACTGCTGCCATGCCTGACCTGCCATTTGGCCGCCCTGCTGCTGCTGTTGCTGCTGGAACCCTAGCTGCTGTCCCCTCTGCTGTTGTTGTTGCTGCTGCTGCTGAATCACCGACGACTGCTGATTCGAGGGCCGGTGCTGGTGCTGCGCTCTCAGCTGCTGTTGGGTGAACTGTTGATTAGTAGAGTATTGTTGTGTGTTGTACTGAGACTGAGCGACACCTTGATTGGGGACGAACTGCAGCCCACCCTGGTTGTTGCCAGGTTTGCGTTGGCCAGAAACACCTGGGGGTGGCTGGTTGAACATGTTGCGCTGCTGTTGTTGTTGCTGCTGCTGCTGATGCTGGCTGAAGAACTGCTCCGCAGTCTGGCCCTGGTAGTTGTTCGCTTTGACGATGGGACGACCTGGCAAATGAGGATCTTTGTAATGAAATGGATACTTGCCCGAACTGAATTCTTTTTTGGCATTAGCATAACCTATGATTATTGAAGTTATTCTTGACATAAAGTTTTCATTTCCCAAAAATGAAAAACAAGTTTCCTTAAAACAAGTTCAGTACTCCCCATCTTCTTTAAATCATGAATAGTATACATTATCTTATTAAATTTTTGGAGTATCGCATTGAAGTAAAGTTTATTGACTACGTTACAAGTCGATGATGTGACATGACTTGCTGCAGAGCAGGCACTATCAAATTTTTTAAAATCAAATAAAAAAGGGGGTCTTGTGACCCTTCACTTGAAAGGTATCTCAATTCCCTATACAACTACCTCTACTGTTTTGAATTTGGATAACTGGTTGCGGAGTAGTTGTTGCATAAATGATATGAATGATAATTCGTAACTTTGAAATCAAACAAGGATTGAAACGGCTCCAAAGTTAGTAATGTGTGACAGAAAGGAAATGTTTACGAAATGAATCGTATTTAGAACAAAATTGAATCAAAATATTTGACAAAAAAGTGCATTTCTGTTGTTAATCTGATTTAGGATTTTTTTGTGATCGACTAAGAGATAAGAATCCGCACCATGTTACTCTAGTGATAGGTAGTAATGTGTTAGCTTGACAGCTGTCACTAGTGTACCAGTCATTCGCTTAATTACATTTTGTTTAAATTTTCATGAAATGGTTTGCGCCAGATCTTTAGAGCAAAAAGTAGAAGCAATCCTTATTTACAGCCGTAATTTTCAATAGTGTTGAATGCAAGATTTCCTGATAATTCGACCTGTCAAAAATATTTCAGGAAATTGATATGAATTGGTGTGGTGAAAACATGCTTCATTTAAATATAAATAAATGTTATCAAATAACATTTTCAAGAGCTATGAAACCTATTGTATATCCATAAAAACAATAATCTAACGTTGATTTAATACTGGCCTATATATTGTTTTGAATATTTGTAGTTTTGTCCGTCTTGAAATTTCTCTTTTATTGATGAAGTTCTTATTCATTGTATAGTACAATTTTATGGTTTTCTCGATTCTGTTGTTAATTTCTGCTTCTTGTCTTCCTTTTTCGTCTATTGTTACGCCTAGATATTTGAAATCTTTTACTTGTTCTATTTTTTTGTCATCATTTTTTTTTTCTATAAATACCTTTAAAATATTGTACTGTTCTTTGGTACACACGGTTTTGGAAAATAATTGCTATATCAGACAGATATATCTATGACTGGGAAAGTACAAACATTTCTGAGATTATGTGCATTTAAGCTCGGATATCTGAGGTCCGACTATGAGTACTCAGACATTCTGCTTCTTCTAATTTATCTACTTTGGAGCAGCGCCGAACTGAAATGACTTCTTATGACTTCTTCATAAAGTTATAAATGGTGATATGAACTGTCCATTTGTAACACAAATGATTAACTTCAACGTAAATTTAAGAAGAACCAGAGCGTCGGAGTTGTTTAAAGTTCCTTACCATTCTACTAGCTATGGCCTATATGAAACCATCACTAGAATTCTTAGGTTAGCAAATAAGAACAGCAGCTATATTGATTTGTTTGACCCGTCTTTGTACTCGTTTAAAAATCAGGTTGAACGTATCGACCTACTATAGAGAAACTGCTGATTATTATAATTAATTGATATTTGTTCTTTGGTATTCTATATTATTATTCAATTGTTTATTTTTTCAATCACACTATTTATGTGTTCATTGTATAATGGCAAGTCCGTAAATAAATAAATAAAATGTCGAACAACTGGAAGTGTAGCTAAAGCAAGAAGAGATGGAAGAAAATCTATCTTGGGACTATATCTCAATAACCACCGTGAAGAAATACATTGTGAGACATATGTTTCACCTTTATAACTCTGACAGAAGAATGCAGTTTTGTGAGTTTATGTCCGAGCGTTTGATTACAGAATTAAACTGCATAAACAGTATTTGTTTTAGTGACAAATGCACTTTTTCCTTAATCAGAACTAAACCAACAAAATGTGCGATATTGGTCAGACATAAACCCACATATTTTTTGACAAAGTCACATTCAAACTCCTGAGGAAATAAAGGTCTGGGCAAGAATATCGGGAAACCATATCGCTTGTCCCATATATCTAAGGGAATATCTGACTGACCATTTATTTTTGGAAATTCTTTACAACTTCAAGCACCCACAGATTCAAGAATATGGCCAACAATCAAGATGGATTTGAAAATACATTTTTTCCAAAAATATGGCGCGCCCCCACCTGTAAGGGATTGGTTAGATCATACATAATCAGGCATGTAGATTGGTAGGAACTATCTACTGGAACGGCCTGCTTGTCCACCTGATTTGACCCTTCTCGATTTTTTCCTATGAGGCTATACCAAACTCTTGTTGATTTTATTAATTTACCCTTTATATCCGAATAATTTTGAGGGAGTAAAAACCTATAACTCGTCAAAATTGTATGAATTTCAAATCCACTTACTCGTACCTGGATGCTTCACAGAAGCATATGGCTGATTCCATTGTTGTCCCTGAGGGGGCTGCACTGGCAGAGGCCTGACACCAGTCAAAGGTCGGCCTGGAGGAATTTTGCCATCGATGAACAATTTGTTTTCCTTTCCTGAAGCATATCATAAAACAAAAAAAAAATGAAATCGTATATTCCAAAGTAGCTAGCGGTAATTTTTTGTTCAAGTACACAATATGGTCCTAAATTTCATCAACTAGTTATTGCTGAAGTTGTTAATGTTTAGGTCAAAATTTTTCTGAAATAGTTAATGTCATGTTCCTCCTGACGAAAATCATGTAGTTTTCATAAAAGAGCTGTAAAACAACACATTTTAAACTTATCATTTCAACCTTTTTCTTTGAAAAAATATTTAAATACTTAAAAAAGGGGAATAAAATGATGCATTCAACATTTAAAGGGATTCGTTTCTATTTCACCATTTGGCAACATCGGTTATAGCTAATAAAGGACAATGAATCTGTTACCTGTATGAGACAAACAAAGATGGCATATTTCAGAGGCGTACTGTTCTGTTCACTCATGTCCCGAGTTCCGAGACATTCTGTAACATATGACATTTTGTGCACCTAACCCATCTTCCTCTATATAAATAAATAACAAAACAACTGTTGTTTATGTAGCTTGTGGAGGTGGTATTGAACTATAATTTATACTTTGCCTTAATTGTTGATATATAAAGATACTTTTCCTTTTTTAAAGTAGATAATCTAGGTACGTATAAATTATTTCAACTTAATATAGGCGCTGTTGCCAATATGTGAATTAGAAACAAATCCCTTTAAAAATTAAAACCCAACATTTGGAACATCAATTTGAATACTTTTCGAAGTGAATTTGAAAAACTCATGAATTAAACTCAGCTTTATTTTGTTCAAACTTGTATTTGCTGTAATAACCCAAATTGATGAACATTCCCCATTATTAGCGTTTTTTATTTTTGCCTTGTTTGAACTTGAGTTATCATACTGTTTAGTATCTTTTTTGCTTATGTATTTAATGTAAAGAAATATCAAGATAATTCTCCAGTTACTATATTTCCTACTTTTCGTAAACAAGTATTCTACTCTCTTCTACTTTATCAACAACCATCTCCTAGGATATCTGAAAACACCATATATAGGGGATACAATCAATAGTACCAGATGGTCATTCTACTATATTTAATTTGCTGTATAATCAAGTTATACCAAGCATCGATATTATCTAGTTAGATCCTTTACTGCAAAATGGTACAGTTTGTCAACAATTCCTTGTCGTGTAAATAAAAAGTTATTTTTCTCTTTCTTTAAACATGAGCCTGGCCAGACAAAAAAACTATGTTACCAACAAAAAACCTTACCCTCATCCTTGTCTGCGGTCATCTTTCTCAACACGGAGGTCGGAGTGAAAGCCAAAGGTGTAGGAGAAGAGATGCTCTTCGCAGGACCGTTCGTACTGGGGCTCTGGCCTCTCTGCATCTCCTGCTTCTTACGGTAGTTCTCCTGCTGCTCCTCGAGTTTCTTCTTGATCAGTGCCCTCTGTAAGATGTTCTGCGTGTGGACCTGCAGCTCTCTCGGAGAAGGAATCCTCTGGTGCAGCGCTACGAAAATTCGTTCAGATAACTTTATAAGAAGCAATTTGGGCAACCGATTGAATACGATGTGAGCACGACGATTTTTCTTGGGAAGCTTCGTTATTGACCACCTCTCAGCTATGGTTTCCATTCCATAGTTGCATTGAGAGCTACTGAGAGGTAGGGAGCGATTCCCCGTTCGACAATCGACGTACACGATACGGGTTTGAGTTTTCACCCACAGATGGCATTCTCATTTATAAGAAAAATCGTTATACATTCGTTTTCTTCGGAATTTTTTTTCAAGGACTGTTGAGCCTGGGCAAAACATTCGTGATCCAATTGATCCTTTATTAATCCTTTTTATATTGATAAAATATGTCCAATGACACTATTTGACATGAAAACGTCTACTAGAGATATGGAGTAATGAAGTTTTATCGTGAAGAAAGTATTCTTATATAGATAAAGCACTTACTCTTCGGTGATATAATTGAGAACAAAGTTTTTTGCATTATGCAAGCTTCAAAAATTATGTGAGTTTAGAAATACTCTATTATGGAGTCGTTGTACTTAAATTTGAGAAGGAAGTCCAAAGACCTCACATTATCGAACATTTAGACTGTTCGGGAGTGATTGGAAAAATAAGCTATACAGGGTGTTTCAAATTCGATCCTCACCACTGGGATCTCAGAAATTATGAAAGATACGAATATGGTTAAATTTGGGCGAAGTTGCGCATTTACCTGACTAACAATATGCCATTGAGAAAGTTCTGAAATTCCTAATATATCCGGAGATATCCGAAAAAAACAAAATTTCAAAAAAAATTGTTTTTATTTTTTTTGGCTTCATTTTTCAAAGGATTCGAAAATAAATTGAACTTCCACATTGCCACTTTTTCACTGCTACATAATGGTATTTTCAGATTTGATATCCGACGTTTCGTCTTCCGGTCACCATCATCAACTCTATTTTTTCTTATGGGCGCTACATTGGATTCTTTCTGTATTGAACAGAACCAGATTTTACCTTTTCAATGATGTATCATAAGTTATATTATTCTTTTTCGAAAAATTGGAGATGTTGAAAAAAAATTATTCTTATCATAATAGGATAGCAAATCTGAAAACACCATAATGTAGCAGGGAAAAAGTGGCAATGTGGAAGTGCAATTTATTTCCGAATCCTTCGAAAAATAAAACCAGAAAAAAATAAAAATCATTTTCCGAAATGTCTGTTTTTTCCGGATATTTCTGAATATACTCGGAATTTCAGAAATTTCTCAACAGCGTATTGCTAGTCAGGTAAATGCGCAACTTTGCCCCAATTTAACCATCTTCGTATTTCTTATACTTTCCGAGATCCCAATAGCGAGGATCGAATTTAAAACACCTGTATACCTTTACGATCAACAAGACAGAAATACATATTCAATCCCATTCTCCAAAACAAAATTCATATAAAACTAATACTTACCACGGACGTTCAGATTAACGAATCATGAAAATATCGACTTCTTTGATTGCATCATTAATATATTCACTAGATGAGTGATATACAGGGCTATTCAAATTCGTTTCTGTATATCGTAAACGATAAGAGATAGAGTGTCGGTTTAATTGTGGCAAAGTTGCTTATTTTAGAGGCCTATTCAATTATGTGAGAAAATCGAATATAGCTATTTTGGTTCTGGAGATATACAGGAAAAACAAAAAAAT